CGCGGCTGCTGCACGAGTTCTTTGAAAAGGATGACACGAGGCTCAGCAAGGACGCGAATTTGGCGGCGGGAAAGTATATGGATATCTTTGTGAGAGAGGCGATTGCGCGGTGTGTGCATGAGAGGCCTGGTGGCTTTCTTGAGGTTAGTGGCTCTTGGATATCTTGTGTTCCTTCATCTATAGAGGGAACTTGATGACTGACTGGGTGATGATAGGTTGAGGATTTGGAAAAGATTGCACCTCAGCTGCTCATGGACTTCTAGCCTGGGAGTCAAAGCCATAGAAACGACGACATGATGAGCGATACCCCTCTCTTACACTACACAACAGCCTTCGGACGGGAACGGTTTCTAGGTCAGGCTTGAAAGACTGTTGGCCTCAATTCTTGACTGGAAGATGACTTGCGGCAACGAAGCTCCCAGCTCAACACTTGCTCACATATTTCCCTCGGCAAAGAACGCTGCAACTCTGGATATCTCGAGGTGCTTGTCGGCCACGAAGCAGACCAAAAGCGAAGGGCCAGATCAGCATGACCCAAACATGTCATAGCTCGGGAATGGAGTGTGGAGATCGGTGTCATCGTCGACCGAATCCCATAGCATTATTGTCGGATCTGCACAACACAACGTCGTGATCTTCTTTTCTTCATCAGCCTTGCGGCGGTCATGTCCGTGGAGAAGATGCGAAGAGGTCTTTTCCCACGGGTTTCTGCAAAGCCGTGAGAGATTGATACAGTTCTGTCGGGAAGGCAACACTTTTGCTCCGGTCGATCATGTGGAGCTCAGCCCACGGCTGCGATGATCAGGCATGTGTCTGCTACGATGCAAAGGGAGACTGGGAAACACGGTCATTCTGACACCAGGTGCATCTGTCCTTGCCTGACGCATTAACAGAATAATGAGTGTCTGGATCGGCCTGCTTGTGCGCGGCGGAACCATGGTGTGTTACTACCGCAGCCCGGTCGATCAAGGGAAAGCGGATAGAAATGCCGAAAAAAACCGGGAAAGCTATCACAGCGGTAAAACCAAGCACGAACGGTAGTCAACTGCCATTCGAAAAAAATTTTGTTGCCTCAACATTGTAATTGGGGCGAGGTTCAGACGAAACGGCAGGCTAGACGCCAGAGATGTCAAAGGCCCTGGAGTGGGATGGTCTGTCCAGGGGCGAGTGAAAGGGGGAGTGTGCTACCCAGACGAACAGAAATGGAAGAAAATTCTGAGAGTAATCACTTCTCTAACATGGTCTCTCTTACCCGTCGTGCCTGACCATCGGCTAAAATTGCACCATTTCGTTGTTCGAGGATGAGGCTCTTTATGTCTGGTGGGGAGGGGGGGGCCTTCGGACGAAACGCTACGCTGACACACAGTGGAATTGAGGCCATTGTTCGTTCGACTCTGGAATCTGGAACCCGGAGCCTCTGTTCTCTCCTGGGGTTGAGTTCTCCTCCCAAACAAATGTTCAAGAGACAGGTGTTTCTAGGGAACGGCGTGACAGCTGGAGAGCCGCAGTCTCACGATCTGAGGCACTTGGTCTGGGGTTGAAACTAGTTCCATAAGGCGGGCCGCTGCTCTGCTTTCGACTTTGGGGGAAAACCAATGATGTCTTGTCTTTCACGAAGGATCTTGAGCTAGCCGGTCATGGAACGTGGTTTGTGGCTAATACAATTGCTCTTCCATTAAACGAAGCTGGCTCTGAGCTTAAGGATCAGTATCGAGTACTGGGCTTGATAGCCAGTAGTCATGCATTGTGGGTAGCCAGAGGCGCATATGTCTTAAAAAAAAAGCCTGTGTCGGTACGGGCGCTCAAATTCGTCGGCAACTATTATTTGATGTTCACTGCACGACGACTCTGGTCTTAGTGTCCGTATGATGTCAAGGCTCTTGGACACATGTCTTGGCCTCATGTTGTAAAAGCCATACTACTCGCTTCCACTCAAGGATACGCCGCCGGCTTGCCCCTCGACGTACGAAGGCGGGATTTGACCCGACGACTCGTTGCGTGTTGGGATATTGTGCGTGACCATAGTTTCCCGGTTTAGTTGATACCAAAAGCACTGGCTCGTACAGTTTAACCGCGCTGATCGCCAAGACTGGCTTTTAATGAGATTCTCAAGACATGCCGACTTGGGGTTGTTCAATCAGTCGCCAAGTGGCCGGAGACTCAAGTAAAGAGTCTCAGAAGAATCGAACAGTTTCTCCAGGTCCTTGGCAGAGCCAAAGCAAGTAGAGTCTTGGAAAACCAAGAAAGTCCCCGCCTTCGCGATCGGATCTTTCCTTCTTGATACCTTCTTCCCCACTAGGATGTAGCCTGTGGGTTCAGGAAAGGGACAAAAAAAAAAAAAAAAAAGGCTATACCGTCCGTTGTGAATGCGAGCACATGTTCGGAGAAGGAGAGTCGGGCTCTGGTGGGAGGGTCGTGCGTGTTGAAGAAAGGTTTGGCCCAATCTTGCTGTTTTTGCCATCAACCACGCAGACCCGGTGCCTCTTTTTTCACCTTGTCTCGAGAAACATGAGTAGTTGGAGTGGTCTTGGCGATGGGTGCTTGACACAGGTTAGCCCTGGACTCATTGCGAAAAAAAAGTCTGTTTGTTTGTCTGGGCTGGCCTTGCTTGACCTGCCAAGGTGTGGGGGGAAAGAGGGATGATGGAGGGAAGAGGAGAGGACCGTTGACAGTCTGGTTCTGGTATGAGATCTAGGGTAGGAGCGGCGGCGGTGCATTGAAAGGAGAGTTTTTCTTTTTCTGGGAGACGGGGGAAAGATGGGATGACGCCAGAAGAGAGAGAGAGAGAGAAAGAGAGAGAGAGAGACTAGGGGAGAGACAGAAAGATCAGTTCAAACGCTGATTATGGTTTCTGAATAGAGCGAGAATAACCTGTCACTCCATCAATGGGTTGAACTCTCGACAATAACGAACGAAGCGGACTCTGACTTTTTCTGCCCCCAGAGGCCATTGGCTATTATTAGACACCTGTGAACTCGCGAGAACGGAGTGTGAGAGTGAGATGGGTGAAGAGGAGAGAGCCGTACGGAGTAGAGTGTCATTGAATTGGGGGCTGATAATTTTTCGATTTCACCATTGATCGATACCAGGGCCAGGAAGCGTTTCGTTTCCTCTGGCTTGAGACGGGGGAGTAGTTACCCCGACTGGTTATGTCAACTTGTCAAGAGAGGGAATCTTGACAGTCGTCTAGACGACGAAACGTGCAATCCGGCTAGACGGCGGGCGACAGAGGGACCCTTGTCAGGTATATCAGAAGGGTGGCTATATGGTCCTGGGGATCGTGGCCTTCAGTAGAGACCGTGTTGTTCCGTGAGGCTTCCCCTGGAATCTACTTGATGGCTAGGCTTCGAGGTTTGAGGCCGGAGGGCACATCATGGCAGGACGCGACTGAAAGATTTACGCGGATAGGTAGAATAGCGGATGGAGAGAAGCCGTTGGCTGGAGTCTGAGAGGGGACGTGGGGGGGAGCAATCAAGAACAAGATTATGCAGGTGAAGATCCCAGGCAAGCCATGGTCTTCCTAGTTACCGCGGACCGCGAATCGCGGGCTGCGATGAGTAAGGTCAGGTAAGAAATGCAAGTCAGGTGCGAGCCTGAGAGTCATGAGATAGTCAAGACTCAAATGGTCGGAGAAGCCGTTATGGGTGTGGCAAAGGTAGGGAGGGGCATGAAGACATGCTCGATTTGGGAACGAAGGAAATGCGGTATTGGATGTGTAGGCATGTGTGTGGTATGAAGGCTGGGATGTCAGATCTCGGAAAAGCGAATCTTGCGTACCTTTGGCCAAGAATAATTTTTTTGCCGCGGCTACTGCTACTACTCAGAGCAGCATCGCCGTTGTTTGAGCGACAGTGCGAGACAGGGGATGCTCTCCTTTCTTCTTTTCCTCTTTTTCCCCACGGGTTGAAGAGACTCTTCGTAACTCGTTGGCCGCGGGCACGTTCTTCTTAGAGATGATGGGAGGAAATGGAACGAGAAAGATGGCAGGCGAAAACATCAGACGCCAATGTCTCCATTTTTGGGCGTCTCTTTCTGTGACGACCGAGGGATGGCCGCAACTGTGGCAGGACTGGGATAGTAACACTTCTTGCCGCTAGGCGAGTCGAGGGTTGTGTGTGCCTTGATCGTTTGGGTTGAGGCTCACAGACCTGATTGGACGATGGGATGAGCACTTGGGAAGAAGTCAACGAGTGTGACAAGCAACGGCGGTGCACCGAGACGGGTTGACTAGTCCACTAGCTGGAGTCTTGAGCAGACTTGACATGACCAAGGCGAGCCGGGGGGGCATGGATCGTTTGTTTGCTTTAGGTGAGCGCTTCATTTGGGAATCGGACAATTCTTTTTAGAGCCCCAGACTGGCGGATACTGGAGACCCAGGGAAAGAGTGAGACGGTTGGGCAATTAATTTGGCCAGGGCAGAAGGGACGACGTCACGGCAACGGGCAGACTGGCGCATATAGTTGAGCGGTGCTAAGACTCAAGAGAGAGAGAGGCTGGGACGCAATGTGGTCCGGGACGAGGACGGAGGACGGACGGGAAGGGTTAGTGAGGCCATGTCATCCATTAACCATTGTTCATTATGATCCATGATGGAGAACAATCCATGATGATGTCTGTCTGTCTGTGTAAGTAAGATCCATGAAGATGGAAGCGAACACGGAGGAGAGGTGAAGAGAAGGGCAAGAATGCAATGGGTAGTTCCTGGGGGAAACGTCGAGGAACGGAGTGGATGAAACAGGGTACGTCGCGAAAGTGTCAGAGGGCTGAAGGAGAAGGTGAAGCACATCCGAGCGCCAGCCTCTTTTGGCGACCAGCCGGGTCTTTCAACCAATCAGAATGACGTTGAGTCGAATAAAGCGGGGATCAAAGACGGAGAGGTACGGGGATACATAGGTACGGAGGTACTTGGGTGCGTCGGGTGGACCGTGCAGAGGACCTCAACCTTATTTCGGCTTCGACGTCGTCCGACGACTTGAACAAGGTCAACTCGCTTTTGACACGCGCTACACTTCTCCGTACAGACAGACTACTCCGTACTCTCTCCCCCCGTGCTTCTCCTCGTCGGTCTCAAATTTTTTCTGCTTCCTGATCCTCAGCCAGTAGTCTAGGGCTAGGTATCCCCTCCTCCATCAACCGGGGGGCGTGGGGTCTCGAGGATGCTGGCTTGTCTTGGTCTCGTTGCAGAGTTGCGCCGTACCGCCGCCGGGGCTCACCATTCCTCTCCAGGCTCTCATCAAGGATGGATCAATCGAGACTCGTTGCGGACATCAGGCTGTAGGCACGGCTACGGATAGACGAAAATGTGAGCGTCTCTCGTCTGACATGTTGGGTGGTAGGTGTGTGAGTTTTCCTCGAATGCGAGTGCGCTAAAGTCGTGGCTTGTGGTTTGACGGGCAGAACGGGCTGATGTCTTGATGAGATGACTTTTCTTCCCAACAGGTTACAGGACTAGAGGCGGACGAACTGCCGTTACACCTGCTGTTCTTTTCTTGCCTTGTCTGGCCTTGCTCATGCTGTCAAGATCGGTCTGGTCCCAACTCTGACGACGTTGACGTTACAACCCACCACATCGTGAAGCATACCAGAGCATGGGCGTCGAATGCCGCAAACCGCAAATAGGTCGGGTGTCTACGTGCTAAGGCATAGACCGCCCTGGCGTTGACGAAACCCAATTGCCGTCTTTTCCTGTCTCTCACTCTCTCTCAGCCCTCAGGTTGTCTCTTTTGGTCTCATCCCCGGCCCGTCAATCATCAGTTGACGTTGAGCATGCCGCAGCATGGCGTGGCGTGGCGTGGCGTAGTGCGCCCAACGATCCATCCGCGACTACGACTACGTGTATCTTAGTCCAAGGTCTAAGCAACTCCAACCATGTTGCGTACCCTTCGGATCAATGTATCCAGATCCCTTCATTTCTTTCCATGAAAGATGTCGGAGGAGGAGAAGGATCGGCTAGAACGGCTTCCACCAATCCTTACTGGACTCTCATCCTTCCGCGCGTCTTGGCTTGGGTTTTCCCCGTACTACTTACTCCATGATCCATCATCCATCCACGCTTCTGACAAGTCTGACGACGGGGAACAAGGGCTCCCTACACAGCACCTTGCGGCAAATCCATCTTATTAGCTACTGTTGGGTGGTATAAGGCAGATTGACCTGCATGTCCAGTCTGCCAAGCATTGAGAAAAGAATCCACCGACGGCGACAGAGGGCAGCAAGCAAGTGCAAAGCAAGGCTTTTCCTCTCTCTCAATACCAGAGAAGACAGGCAATCTCCTGCAAGGTCGGGTCTTGATGTGTTTCTGCTTGTCCTGGGCTGCACTCAACAAGCCCATCATTGACCTATCCTCAGGTCCCTACGCACACAATTTGAGTAGACAAGAGACATACACAGTACGGCGGGTATGCAGGGTAAGGCTCTCACACCCATGGCCCGGCTGTGATGGTCAAAACGCGTTTCAACCACTGCTGCATCAGCCTCCCTCACACACCCCTGGCTTTTTCCTACCCTCCTCGCAATGGCAAATCGCACACACACGATGCTGCCAATGGTCCCCTTCGCCTCGCTTCAAGTTCTCGCCTCCACCACTCGACCCCCAGTGCAGCACTACCACACGTTCCAAAGGCCCTGCCCACCCATGCCTCATCCCTTCGCCTGTCGGCTGTACAGTGTACACGACTGATGTCGCGCCGTCGGGGGTGGGCATCATTCTGGTTGTCACGGTTGTTCAGATGCAAGACGACAACCCCAGGCACACCACCTTGAGGCTAGGACGGCCGCCCGAGCAGGGGTCTGAGGGTCCCTTGTTCTGGCATCTCGTCGTCGAGACGTGCGACACAAATTCTTGGGACGATCCCGAAGGTTGCTTAAATTCATGCCGTTCCCTCGCACCCCCCTCCCCTTCGAGTTCCCTTCTTCTTTTAGAAATTCCATCACTGACAACTTCTTCGAGGCGGGATTTCCTATTTGCTTCTCTTTTCTTATTCTTCCGTTTACGTTTAATTTTGTTCAACTTCTTCCAGAGGCTAGTCCTACCAAGAGCGCGAGTCGCCAATTTCTTCGAATATCTCCAACTTTTTAGTAGTCACTCTCTCGACTCCGTCTCTTCGACAACCACCTATTCACAACACTATTTTCTCGGATTCTTAAGAAAACTCAAAATCAAGATGCATATCTCAGCTATGGTTGTTTCGGCTCTGGCCGCTGTCGCTTCGGGTAAGCTGTCACGCGAGGAATCGAGAAGGGAGGGAGAGAGAGAGGCATGGCACAGGAAAGCAGGACAGTAGACTAACACGCCATCTGCAGCCGTCGACGTCCAGGTCGTTTCCGTCGCCTCGACGAACAACACGCTCAAGTTCTTCCCCGAGAAGATCAACGCGCCCGTCGGCTCCATGGTCCAGTTCCAGTTCCGCGGCGGCAACCACTCCGTCGTCCAGTCCACCTTTGACAACCCGTGCATCCCCATCTCCAACGTCAACACCTCGGCAAAGGGCGTCTACTCTGGCTACCAGCCCGTCGCCGCATCTGCCGCCAAGGGCCAGATCCCCGTCTTCACCGTCATGGTCAACTCCACCACGCCCATGTGGCTCTACTGCTCCCAGGGCAAGCATTGCCAGAACGGCATGGTTATGGTTATCAACGAGAAGTGAGTTTAATTCTGCTCTAGTCACTACTCTCCGCTGCAATCGTCAGCTTGTTCCCTCAAAAAGCGTCTACATTCATTTGGTCGGCGTGTGCTGTCCTCGTGGCTGCACCCTGTTTCAGCCTTCGGACGATGACACAAGACGCACGAACACCACCCTCAACTTCTCTTCCACATCACACCCCTAAAACAAGCAAACTCGGGAATGACACAATTTATGCTAACCACCCACCCTCCACAACAGCACCAAGGCAAACGCAACCCGCTCCATTGAGAACTACGCAAAGGCCGCAAAGAACGTCGCCCAGGCCCAGATCCCCGGCGGTGGCGCGGCCGGCGGCTCCAACGGCGGCGGCTCCGCTTCCCCCACCGGCGGTGCAGGCAGCGGCTCCGGCAACGGTGGCTCCGGTTCCGGCAATGGCGGCTCCAACAGCGGCGGCGGCTCCTCTGCCACCCCGTCGTCTCCTCCCACTGCCGGCGCCGTCTCCCTCAGCGCACCCGGCACCTTTTTGCTCGCTCTCGGCGCTGCCTTCTTGCTCATGTAAGAGGTTTAGTACCTTGTTTGTGTGCTTTTTCGGGATCGGTTCAAGATGGGAGGGGGTTATGGAGAGAGAGAGAGGGTACGGGCCAGGAGTTTGGTTTCTGGAACTACTACTACTGGGCTACTACTACGGGTGTAAACAAACATTTTTTGTGATGATGAACTTAATACCATTCACTTTTCCTTTTTTACTCATGGGTGGCATATCTTGTATGAAGAGACAAAAACGAAACGAAACTAGACGGGGCTCTTCATATGTATATGATAAGTCCGTGTTGGAAAAAACGGCGTGATTGCATGCTTGCTGCAATAACATCTAAATCGCATTTTCATTGATTCCGGCACATGTACGTTTCGTCGAGCACTTTGTATGCCCAATTTTCTGTTTGTCCTTATACCAGTTCTCGGAAGTGAGGCATCTCATGAACAGGCACTTGGAGTTAGCTTCGTCCTTGTGAGTAAGATAAAGTATCTCATTCTCTGATGCGGAGATGAGCATGTAGCTGATCATCTCCTACATACACCCAGTATTACTAGAGGGAGTTAGTGGACACTATTCACATAACCTGGCCTAGAGGTACTGAACAATTCTTGTTCTAGACTTTCCGTTTCTCAGTGAGGATCCGAGTCATTCAACAATCTTCTGCAGCCGAACCCTATGTGCACCATTCTTAATCCTTACGACCCAGATTCACGTCTTTTGGTTTTACTGCACATGAGAAGACCCGAGATGAGAGCCTTCAGGACTCTACAAGTACACCATTCCATCGTACAACCAGCGACCGGGACTGATCAAGAAAGCATGGTGGCGTTAGATGATGCGCTTTTGTCTACTAGCAAGACCAGTCTTGAAATGGGGAGTTATGAAAAAAGTGATATCTTCAGCGAGGAGATTACTGACGAAACTACCAAGCAGATCCGGTCTGTCTGTCTCCAGATCAGCTACTTCGTCCAAGACCAACTTGACATACATGTCACACGGACATGGAAAACGCAGCGCAGACATCGGATATCGTGAAAGGGTTCCGCCGCTTCATGTTGTTCAAGCCAATGGCTTTTTACTTCCTTTCTATCCCTTCCTAGTATACTACAGTGAATCGTCCTACAGTGAATCGTCCTTACAATGCAAACACCAAGTCCCGATAAGGAGGGCATCACCCGTGGAACATCATTCTCGGCTTTTACTTCTGCTCTTGTCCAGGAACAACCCTCTTCACCCGCCCCTTCTGCGCCTGCTCACAAAGCGGCCGTCTCTTCTCCTTCTCCAACCACCCTTCCTCCCTCTTGACCTTTCCGACCTCACCATACTTGTCGCTCTTGCTAAAGAAATCAACCCAGTGCTTGAGCGCATCGTGCACTTTTTGCTGCGCGGCGGCGCGCTCTTCCGCCTGGAGGGCCTGCATATCGGCGTACGACCAGTGGCGGTCGACTTCGGGGTCATCCAAGGGTAAGAACATGTCTTCGACGCCGCGCATGTCGGGGGTGCGGTCCTCGACGAAGCAGCCCGTGACGAAGCCGCGGGAGGCGTCGCGGCCGGCGAAGACGTTGTAGGAGCCGCCGGGGCCGTAGATGCGCGGGTTGGCGGAGACGTCAAAGATTGTGTGGTTGATGGCGAGGTAGATTGGCTTTGTCGGGTCGGAGCCGTCGTATTGGAGGAGTTCTTCGGGGGTTAGGTAGAGGGGGCCATTCTGTTTGTGTGACAAAGGTATGGTAAGCTTTCCGTTCGGTTCGGTTTGTCTTGTGATTGAGAATTTTGGAGAAAGAGAGGGTTGAACACGCACCCATTTGGCCTTCCAGTAGTCGGGCCTCATGTACCAGGGCTTATTCTTCTGGCCCCAGAAGAAGCTCTCGCCGCCGCTCTGGAGGTAGCTCAGGGCGCACGAGGCGAGGAAGAAGAAGCTGAGGAGGCGGAGGATGTCGAGGTAGGGGCTGTACTCGTCCGTGTATACAGACTCCTTCTTGGACTTTTTAGACTTCTTCTTGTCTGCTGTCGTGACGGGCGGTGCGTCCGAGTCGATGGCGTTGCCGTCCGAGTCGACTTCCTCGACGCGCTTGCGTTGCCGCACGTTTGCTGCGTCGTCGGCCATTGTATGAGCGTATGTTCTTGTGTCTGTGGAGAGGCGAGGAGAGGTGAAGTGAGGTGTGTAGCTGGCAGGACAGCTCGAGGTAAGGTTGCCGGTTCGGAAAGTCTCACTGCCGGGGAAGCTACTTTTAGTGATCGACGCCCTTGTACTAAGGTAGGAAGCTATCAGGCGCGATGCTGGTGTCACGTTGTCAATGTGGCCTGATAGAACCTAAGGGACACGATTCTAGATATATAAAGAATGGAAATGTACGGAGCATGTATCCGTACGCGGACAGATTTCTTGCACACCCCGCCGGAACCTGGCAATGGAATGGGCAAATACGTTACGGCGCGGACGGGACGGCGATGAGGTGGAGGCCGAGAGCGAGCAAGACACAAAAAAGTGACTTTTAGACGGCCTGTGATAGGTCGCTGCGGATCCAAGCCATCCGATGGGAGTCCCCCTTTTCTGGGTCTTTTTTTTGACAAGTCGGGGACCCTGGGGCCTGATTTAGAGGAGCATTGAAAGGCACTTTGCAGCTTTTTGGAGACTCTGGCAAGACTGGCAAGAATGCAGGAGGGTTCCCTGGAGACGCAGCAGTTACACATAAAGTGGCAGCCGTTGGCAGCTCTCCCGGATAGGTTAGAGGCTTGGAGCTGCTTACGGAAGCATTTGAGGGTACGGAGTACATACCTCAAGGAAAGGATGGTAATTAATGGGAAAGAGCAAAGCCTCAAGCTGTGTTCATGCGTGGCTGCTTACCTCATTATTGATGATTAGTACACTACTGGAAGGTACGGAGTATGGATACGGGTAGAGCTTCCAGAAGCTGTGACCCTGGTCAGAACGATTCAAAGGCAAGGCACTGGTACGGATAGTGGGCATCCACTTGTGCGACACAATGCAGGTTGGGGAATCTTCAGATGCAACAAGCAGAAACCCTCCATCTCTGGGCCGGGAGCTTAACCGATACATTACTCCGTACATAGTGTACCGTAGTATTCCGTGCAAGTGTTTGAGCTAGAAGGAGAAGGATTCAGGGAGAGGATGAGAGAAGAAAGCCATTTAATCCATCGCCATCCTTTCTTTCCTTCCTCCTGCACCTTCCCCAAGGTACCTACCTTTACCATAGCTTGGGTATCTTCATGCACATATCCTCTAAGTTGTTCTATATCAACCCAAGAACCCTTCCATAAATACAAAAAATCGTTATACCGAGTGACTTTACCGCATTGAGCAGCTGCCCGACGTCGAAATAATTCTTTAGGTCAAACCTCTTTTTTTCTTTCTTTTTTTCCTCTTTCGGTTCTTCGCCCAAAAGTGGAGCTGATTACACATGTCACTCGACCCTCAGCCAATCCCGTGGCCAAATGAGCCATTTCGCTAGACCAATCCGCCGCGTCACCCAGACAACCCACCTGCAGCAACTCCAGCGCCCGCACTGTAAACAGCCGCCCACCTGTTCTTGCTGCCCCAACCCACACCTCAATTCAACCTGGACTGGGAATCAGCTACATACACCTTTACTTTTGGCTTCTATTGCTGTATACCTACCTTACCCTACATGATCCATACCACCTCCGTTAAGGGTTTCTTCGCAACTCCAAACGCCATCATCGTCATTCTCGTACGCCGCGACGCATGCAAGACGTCTTCGGACAACACCCCCTCGAAGTAGACAAACCCCAACGGACGACTGCTCCATCAATCACGCAGCCCGCATGACAGATACCTCACCACGATAACCACAGAAACGCCATCACCACCATGGCCGACAGCGCCGAACCACCGTCCTCACCGGGCGGCCCATTGAGCCCAATGACCCCAGACCGGGCCAACAAAACCCAACAAGCTCGTAACCTATTTACCTCGCCTCGCAGTAGTCCTGGAGGTCGAGATAGCTCCGTCCACGAGAAGATCTCCCAGTTCAACAACCTCGCCATGCAGTCAAAGACTCTCGAGCGCAAGACCGCCGATGCCGCCCTTAAGCGCGCCATGCTGGGTCGCGAGGAGGCCGAGACCGAGCTGCGCAGATACAAGGACGAGTCCAAGGTCTTGCGCGTGCAGCTGGAAAAGGGCAAAGAGCGAGAGCAGCGCGTGAGCGAGCGTCTCGAAACCGTCATGGTACGCTCATCTGCCACATTTCCGGGGTGATGCAACTCAAACATACTAACATCTCCTCAAGGAACAATACGGCCGCGCAAAGGAAACCTACGCACACACAAAAGCAGCATGGGAGAAGGAAATCAAGCTCGCCCGTAAAAAGACATTTAAGAACGAGTCCCAAATTATCAAGCTCCAAGAAGAACTAAAGGCTTCCCGCGAAGGCTGGCGTCTCGCCTCCGACAACCTCGACGCCGAGAAGTTGCGCAACAAGGCCCGCGAGGAAGAAGCTTTCCAAGCTCGCTACCAGATGGTCGGCATGGAGCAGGAGCTCGGCGAGGCTCTCGAGCGTATCAAGATGCTCGAACAGGAACGCGACGTCTACAAGACCCTCGCCAAGGAGGAAGAGGTCGCCCGTATCGCCGCCGAAGGCCGTATCCCCCTGCCCAAGACGGCCAACGCCGCGCCCGACGACGAGTTTGCCTCGCCAAAGAAGAAGGGACCACGCTTCTCTCTCTCCACAGTCGACATCATCTCATCCGCCGCCAGCGAAGGAGAGATTGAGGAGCTTTCACTCCAGGTATCATGGGAGCGTCAACGTGCGGATCGTGCTCAGGAGCTCGTCGATTTCCTTCAGGCAGAGTGTGAATTGCGTTGCTGCCCATGCGCCAAGTCTCACAGGAGAAGAAGCATCGTCTCTCCGAGGCAAAGCTTGGCTTCAAACAGAGCGAGCATCTTGTCACCAAAGCGCAGACTGATGCCGCCAGCTGAGATTGCCGATGCCAGTGATCTGGTTCTCCTCCGTCGAGGTAGGGAATCGTCTCCGTCATTGAGGGCGTCCTTGAGCCCGCCAGTCGAAGACGCTCCCTTCAAGAAGCCGGCTGCGCACAGGAGATCCAAGGAAGAGAGGAGAAGCACCATCTTCTGTGCCCGTGAGGGTATTTTCCGAACTGTTTCGCAGCAAGAAGCCGACGAGATCGAGGCACAAGAAGAACGAGGAAGACGAGTGAACGAGTCAAGTGAAGAGTCCCCCAATGAACCTCCTACACCACACGATGCTCCAGAGAGATACTCGCGGACGCCCTCCCTCGAGCCCCCAGACTTTGCTGTTCTTGCGCAAGAACGTATGTCTCTGGCATCACTTCTCAATGCACCCCACGGTGGTGCCCACGGTGAAGTTCACACCGCACCTCTCCCTTCCATTCCCACCATGCCCGACACTGAGGAACGTCCGGCATCCCGCTCCTCAAGGGGCCCCTCGCCATCGCTCGATGATACACTTCGACCCCACACCTCGGCAGCTTTCTACACCAAGACCACAACGACAACCGTCCCTGTCCGCGACGATAAGCCTCGACCCCAGCCTCGGTTTGAGCGTGCTCGTACACCATCTGGCGGTGACTGTCAAATGTCCTTTGATATCAATAACCCCGCCATGACCCCGACAATGACCCGCGAGGAGGCCCTGGCTCGTATCCGCGAACGTCGTGGACGCGCCAAGTCCATCGCGCAAGGCACCGCGACACCCCGCAAGAAGATGATTGAGGGCGCCGGCGAGCGGCGAGATGTTAGCGCCCCCGCCGGTCAGACGGTTCCCAAGGCCAAGGCATAGAGTCCCTTTCGGTTCAAGGTGGCCTCGCCCACCATTGACCGCAGAGTGAAGCTGAACATGCCCCTCGAAGACATTGAATCACCACCGGCAGGTTTAGACAGCCCGGTCAATCCACAGACAGTTCAGTGGCGTAACGAGGGCATGCGACATCGCCTATGGAAGCTCACCCGGGACTCTCTCTCACGTGGCTCGTTTAGATGGTTGACAGATGTATGAAAAATCAGACTTGTTCACAAAAAGCAGGGCGTTTACGGTGGTCCATTAGGAAAGCGCGGGAGCTTCCAGGAGTTCTATTTTGGAGAGGAGTTTTTGTTCATTCATCCGGCCTGTTTTTCATCTCATGCTTTCCTCTCTGACCGGTACATGTCGTCTGCAGCATGGTCGCGGCGTTCTTGGACAAAATGGGGAGGGCAAACGGAGAAACGGCCTCCTTGTGTTTTTTTTCCTGTTGACCCCCTCTTTATGACGGGGAGTTTGGATTTCCCAACCTTGACGACACAGTACATACCACTGGGGGCGGGTTAGCATTCTTGTCTTTTTTCTATTTTCCTGTATGACGATGAAAATGAGGAGGGGGGTTGGCTGGATTAATGATAGTATTGCTTATTGTTGTTTTTAGTTGCTGCCTTACCTTATTCCGATACTTAATTGAGGCTTTTGACCTTGTTCTACTCCATTCTCCTCTTCAAGTCTCTCACCATCGTTCATCACTAATATCTGGCATCTAAGCGCCAGCAGTCACACTATTGTGTCTTTTTTTCTCCACCGCACCCGTTAGACCTGGCCAATGCCTCGTCTTCTACCCATCTGTCTTGACATACTTGACAATGTGGCTGGTCTCCAGTCCGGGTCGCCGTGAAAACGGCCCACTGCTATACACTTTTCTCTTTTGCGACCTTGATGGAATAGAGGCGTTTCTCGTCTGAGCAAGGTTAAGGTATATAGCCCAACCAGGGCCAACACACTCCCGCAATCCGGTTCCGTGACCTGTCAGCCGTGAAAGCCATTATGGCCGAACGGTATGATTCCGAACTGTGAGGGCTATACCGGCTATGTACATGGTGATGTCATGTATAGGTCGGCTTAGCCTTTTGTTTTTCTTGCTTCATTTTCTTTTGCACTTGGGAGCCCGTCAGTCACTGTCAGGGCATTCTGCGGACTTGGGGGGCTTGGGTGGAAGGAGACTTGGTGTTTGAGACTATTCTCGAGCGGGGGGATTTGGGTGAACAAGTGGTGAGATGTGAGGATGACTACTACTCAGAGCTGAGATTTCTGCGGGTTCGAATTGGGATCATGATGGGTTTTGCTCTGTTTCTATTTGGAAGAGGCTCTGCTGGGAATGATATTTGATATTCCGCGATAACTCAGCGTGGAGTTTGGATGAACGGTGATGAGACATGAATGCATTTCCGAGAGCAAGGATATTCGCGCGTTCGAAACCCGGTATCGTAGAGAACTTTGTTCTGTCCAAAAAATTGATGAGCTCTATTTTGAAAATGGTGTTTTGATGTTTTACAAGACTTTGCAGTAGGTGCTGTTGGTTCATTGTTCGATTACTTTTCTTCTTTTGCGCGGGCACATAAGGCAAGAGGTCTAATGAGGCTTCGAAAACCATGTCACGGAGCAAAAATCCTTTCCAGTATACCGATGGAGCAGGTGTATGAACCAAGACGAGAATTCACAAATTTCTCTCTAGCTAGACTTTTGCAGCAAGTACGGGAGTGATGCAGTCTTCGAACCCGCCCCCTTCTAACCCCCTTTCTCTCTTTAAAGAAGGTCTCGCCTCGAAAAATATTCCCCCTACTTTTTTCGACGTTGTTGATAGTTGGTAATGGTATAGGTAGCAAAAGCATAGCGAGTATAGCGAGTAATATCAAAAAGTCGTAACGTCATGCAAGAAGGTAGTATAGTATATCCACTTCCCGTCGCTTTTCCGCCCGCTCCCCTGGGAACACAAGAAAAAAAAAAAAACAAGGATCCCAAACAACTCCTCAAACATATTGGATATCCCAACTTTGCGACCTATATCGAACGATTGTGAAAAGACTCAAGACCGGAAGGCGGGGCAAGGGGGGATGGAAAGCGGTTCGAATGCATATTGGTGGTATCCGTCTAAAGCAGGCAGCCCCCATCATCCGTTCAGGAACCCCCTGTTTGCATTCCTTGCATTCTCCGAGCTATACGCGTCGAGCTTGACGGCGACGAGCACGCACTCGACGGAGCTCTTTCCGCCGCGCGACCCCTGGATCTTGAGCCTCCATTGGCCCGTCCGAACTACCCACTCCTCGGCCGCGAGCGCCGCCTGGCCCTGGCCTGCGGCCGTCGCGAAGCCGTGAGAGTCGACCCGTCTCCGCTTGCGCGAGTTGGGCTGGAACGCTGTCGTTGCTGTGGGTGATTCGGCTGTGCTCGAGGCCGCGGACATGGGGTTGTTGTTGTTGTTGTTGCTGTTGTTGGCGGTGACGGGCTGTAGGTCTTCAAAGTCTAGGGTGTGTGGTCTGCCGTCGAGGGTGATGGAGGTGTCGCTGTCGATGGACACGCGCACGAGGTCCTCACTGAGCGGGGTGTGTCCCGGTGTCGGGGGCTGGCTGCCGGCGCCGCCCGAGGCCATGAGGAGGCCTAGGGGTTGCGTCGTCGGCGGGAGGTTGAGCTTGGTGGCCACGACTTCGAAGAGGCGCGCCACACGGGCGCGGGTGTCCTTGAAGAACTCGGCGCGGACGGAGCCGGAGCTGTGGTGGAAGTGGAGGCGGGTGCTCTCGCCGCCGATTTCGAGGACCAGCTCCGCCGCGCGGTCGTCGACGTAGGGGCGGGCGTAGTTTACCCAGCCGGAGAGGTGGTCGGCGGGGGAGGGCGAGACGTCTGCGGCGACGCTGATGCCGCTTTTGAGTATGTCTTCGAGGCGCAGGAGGATCTCCTCGCGCCGGCGGCTCTGGTTGTGGCTGATGTGGTGGGGGATGAGTTTCTGCTCCAGGCCTTTGAAGTTGAAGTAGCGGCAGTCTCGCAGTAGCTCGGCGCGGTGCGACTCGTTGCGGATCGTTACGGGGTAGCCGCGTAGCAGGTGTAGGATCTCGGCAAAGGTATCGGCGGAGCGGTTTGGGACGGACGGCGGTAGGATGGAGGGCGGGCGGAGGAGGCCTTCGCGGTCAAGGCCGGGGAACAGGTCTTCGGGGTTCGAGAAGAAGACTGCGAAGCCGAGGGAGAAGAAGTTTGGCGAATTGCCTGGGTCGGTGAAGATATCGCGGGGGATCTGAAACTCGCGGTGACCGATGGAGATGAATATTGACTCCTCGTAGAGCTGTGATATCAGCTTGGGCACTGCCAGAGCTGTGTTAGCCATGAACGCAGAGGGCTTGAATTCGGCAAACACGCACAGCTATAGAATTGGGCGTCGGCAAATAGTCGCACAAAGTGCGTGCCGTCTCTGGGTTTGACATGATAGCCTTGGAGGTGGAGGGAGATGTCGGCAAAGGTCTGGGGATCGCGGTCGATGTACAAGGTGCGGATGGCATTGGAGAGGTCCTCGCCGGTTTCTTGTGCCTTTTTGACCTGGCAGTAAAAGTATTGAGAGAAGTACGACGGCGCTAAAGACAGAGACGGAGGGTCAGCATGGTGTTTTGTCTTGGGCGCCTTGCGCGGATCGCGGAGGATCGCGGCGCAACGCCGGACGGCGAGTTCGCATTACACCGAAGACGGGACTGAGAGAAGTGGGCACGGCAGGGATTCAGGAACGTACCATCGGATGAAATGGATGCGCCGGAGAGCTTAAACAGCTCATTGCCTATCTGTATGGGGAAGACGCGCTCGTGAGGGAGGAAGTGAGGAATCTTTGCGACCTGAGCCTCATCGTGAGGTGGCGCTGGGCTCTTTGATGGGTGTTGGGATCTTGCGCTGGTGTTGTTGGCAACGGACATGTCGGCGGCAGCTGATCGACGCTGAGGTTGAGAATCGGATTGCGCTTGTTGGACCATGGCGCCGCCGTGTTGTCTGATCGTATCCAAGATTCGCGACTTGGACGGGAACTCGGCTCGATGTGCCGAGATGGAGAGAGGTTGTGTGAATGCAGGTGGCGTGACTGGCAGAGTTGAAATTGATTTACTCAGAAGCAAAGCTTGCAAAGAGCCTTGTCACCTTGCGCTGTGGTGTCAAAGCACGAACCATGGGCATTGACATCAGATGGAAACGACGACTACGATGAAGAAGATGATGACGACAGCAGCAACGACGACGACGACGACGACGACGACATGACCCAAAGTGCGTTTGAATAGAGCACTTGATGATTGCGCGCGAATGAGCGAGCAAACGAGGGGCTGGGAGCTTGAAGATGAGGGGCCGTGAATTGGTGGTGAGGTGGTTGATGTTGTTCCGCGAAACGGAAATCTACGCGAAAGTAACCCTCCCCTAGAAAGAGAAAAGTAAGGTATGGATACAGTTCTACGATTTGTCCATTACCGCTCGAGGGACCGGGGGGAGGCCTGTAGATTGTAGTTCAAACGGCGCGAGGCCGGGGTTGGAGCAGACGACGAGCTTAAGGTCTTGAGATAAGGTGACGTCGGAAGGGACGGAGACTGAAAGAGGCAGCGTGTGTATTGTCTCTCCAAGGTAAGGTAAGGCAAGGATGAGTCTAATCTTGTTTGATATGCGAGCGGCACAGTCAGCGCAGAATTGCTAGAGGTGTTGGATCCGTACGGAGACCTTACTCCCCCGTCATGGAGGATGAATTGACGCGGAATGGTCAGGTTCCATTTGGAAGGGGGCTGGAAGCCTGGAACTTGGGGGTGGAATGGAAAGGGACCAGGAATGTCAAAATGCCCTGGTACCAACTGGCCAAAATTGGTCGGGGGGAATACTTTCCCATCATGTCGTTGCCTGGAATTAACCGACCGAGGTTGGGTGTATACTCTGTGTGGAAGCTTACCTTATTCCCGGCGCTTGTCCAATCAGACTGTATGTTGTACCACCAAGACACTGGAATGCGGTAGCCTCAAGTGCGCTAAAACCGGCTCGATGCTCTGTCAGCGCCAGACGTTCGGGGCTCCCGTGGCGCTAACCTCACTGTAGACACTCCAAAGTGCGAAGCGAGAACGCCAGTCTCACTTGGGATCTAGGCGAGCTGCTCCTTGCTTTCCCGGTGGAAGGTGCTTATTTTCTTTCTTTCTTTCCCATCCCAGTTCTGTGCCTCTGCAGCAAGTGCGCACTGCGGCTTGCAACTGCCTGACTTGTGCGACGGAATTGTCTCCGGATCCTGCCCGAGGTGAACGAGGTGGATCACTTTCCAAATGGAAGGTCCAAGTCGTTCTGTACCTTCCCACAGCATAGGTCGGCAGAGGGGCTCCCCGAATTCCAATGGCTTCCCTCAATTTCCTCCATGTCCGTACTATTCGTACGAATCATTACTCCGTACCTTACCTTAGTTTACGGAGACAACACTGCCAACTCGGAAATGACACCGAATCCCCTTCATCGAGATCCCCACGTCATTGCCATCGTCCCACTCTCTTGCGGCTTTCAATGTCAAACGCATACGTAGTAGGACCTGGCATCACCAAAAGCAATTATACAAGACACTCGCCTCGACTCGACCTACTCCGTATCCGTACACTACAATTGCGGCTTGCCTGTCTCGACTGGCGAGCTCGCCAAGATGCACTCCGCTGCAAGGGACCCCTTCAAGTTCCAGAACAATTCTCCAGATTCCCCTGCCAATCAGCTCAATGAGCACTCGAGCTCCTGAAGACTGTCAATTACTTCCCTAGTTTGTCAACCTGATACATGCAGCCTCAACGGGCGTCGGTAGCAAGCACGCAGCACGCTGCCCACCAGCCTGCTTTGCTGCCCTTCATTGTGTCCAGCCCACAGAGTACAGTTACGCATACGCATACGCAGTACTCGGAATTAGAGCTTCGAGACTCGAGAGACGTCGTCAGCTGCAAGCCCAAGCATGCTGGTCCGAGTATCAGCTTCGCGGCTTCGCCGTTGCTTCTTACAATGCTACCGTCACTTGTGCCTCCGAATCCTCGTCCGATGTCTTCGAGATCCCGCTCCCACCAACCACATCGCATCTGCTCTTACTTCAGACATGACCTACAGACATCCAAGCCAGGTCTTCCTCGATTTCGGCAAGCCTGAGCCGAGACTGACAACCTCGCCACATCGTGAAGCTTTGCGTCAAAAAGGCCAGCACTGCGGGAACCAAACCTTCTGTCACCAAACTCGACTGATGATCTGCTGTCCCGTCCGGGGGTCTGTTGGTCGATCATCATTCGGCGAGCCCTAACTCACCTTACCTCACCACAGTGCATCGTAGTTCTCGGTCTTTCAATCCCGAACTTTTCTCTTTCATTGTGCCTGTTGTTGCGCCGCAACACGCAATGCCTCCCTCTCGCCCGCTCAAACCGTTCGCTCGTCCCTTCGCAGAGTTTGACATGGGGAACTGACTGAGATATACGTGCCACATTCATTGCACCGATACGAAGCTGTTCGCGGCAATTGTCGTATGAGGGATGCTGTATTCCGTTCTTTGACGTTGACGGAACCTACTGCACGCCCATCCATGATCTCAGATGCTCTAGTACGGCTTTCCCTTCGCATCGTTCCGCTGCCAACACATGCATACGGAATACGAAGTACGACCTGCATACCTAATAGCCGCAGGGACTCCAATAAAGCCTGTTCGGCCGAGTTGCGGGTCGAATCCTCTGCTCACTCACACTGGCAGTCTGGCACTGCTTAGACGCCCGCAAAGTCAGGGCCGCGCTGCGATCGTTCCAAAGCCTGCCCATTGGCCCAGAGCCAGATCCTGGAATTACATCCCCTCCCCAACGCGTTTCGAACTAGCACTGCACAAATACAATATACGAACCCGATGCCGGAACCGAACTTGCGGCACACCCAAGGTTCGAGATTCGACGGTCCATTCGTCGACTTGCAACACCGTTTGTTGGATTCGTCGGCTGTCTCGGTGCGGTGCGCGCCAGTGCCACGCCCTCCCGAATCCCTCCCAGGAGAATTGCTCGGAGCCGACTTGCGAGCTTCCCACCACAACGGACCGCATCTGGGCCCCGCCAACACTGAGTCTGAGGGAGCTTTCGTGGGGACTTACTTTATTACGACCCGATATGTCGTGCTGGCCAGTTTCAAGGCCTTGCTGTTTTCGAGGTATTATCTCGTGCAGGACAAGGATGCCCCTTCGTCAACGGCACGCGTCCCTTGAAGCCGGCTGGCCAACTGGTGGTGCTGGAGAGATAACACCAAACGAGGTCTGGCCAAGGTCTTGGAAGCCGTGTTCCTTGTCCCGCTTTGCAGGAAACAGCAGCTCTGGCCGATCCGGCAGCGACGAAATTGTCTCAGGCTCTAAGCAGCGCGGTCGAGACTCCTCTTTCCTACTAATCACTAACCCGCAACTTTGGCATCCATTGGTGGCCATTGGTGGCACCGGAATCAGACGCGCTTTGGGAGGCTCGGGGAAATCTCGATTGCCAGAGACCAGATCGGGCCCTTCACACCTCAGTCCCACGATCTGTCTTAACAAAGGTCAGCTGATATACGGAGCCGACCTACTTTATTTTTCCTCGGGAACAGCCAGACGGTCACGGAACCCCGTCCGTCCACAGAATCAACCAAATAGGTACCCATCCCACCGGCGGACAATGGCCGCTGAAACGAAATGAATCGTCTTGGTGCTCTAGGCGGTGCCGGAGGGTCGGACTAGAAGCTCGCAGTGGTCAGCGCTCTTTAGAGACAGAAACAGTTGAGGCCGAAATTGGCATACTGACTTTGCCTGCATGCACAGCCTTTATCGCGGGGCAAATCTGGAGCCCGAAGAAGCGCGAGAATTCGTCGCAAAAGCTCTCGGCGGATAGAAGGGAAGAGTGAATGTGGACCTTGGATTGATCGTCGCAGAGTATGGGACGAGAGATGGAACATGCCGTCCAAACCGTATTATAGCCTCTTGCAACCATACGCACCCTGGAACCTGTGATGGACACCCTCCGACTTACCTCTCTCAGAGGCTCAGGGGCTCGTCACGCGTGGGATGCGGCTATTATTCTTCCCGTCTTTATCTAGTATCAACCAACCAACAAGACCGGCTCGTCATGTGGTACACGCTCACGCTCCGATGAGTTATGTCGAAAGTGAAGGGAAGGGATTGATCAAACTTTCCCATCCACCCCACCTGGGCAGCAACTGGATCCGAACGATGAATCTGTCTGTCTGGAACAAGGACGTATCTATACGGGCACGCCCTAGGGGTGAGACAGCCTGCCGAAGAAGATGATTGGGGGCCAGGGCAAGATTAGAGATTGACAAATGAAGCAAAGGAATATGGATGAAGGGAGGCTTGGCTTGGCTGGTTGTTGGAAGGGCAGAACGCCATGAAGCCCAGCGCTAGGCGAGAGCAAGAAGCACGTAGGACGGCCCGGCACAAGGCCTGAGCCTGAGGCGCTCGCAAGATATCCAGGGAAGGGTTTAGTGACTGAACGTGCGATGTAGCAAGGCGACAACTAGCTCGCCCGTTGCTCACATTGAGTTGCTTAGGTCAGGATCATGTCACAGTCCGAGATGCGTTGCACCAAGGTTGGACCTGTCAATGGTCTGTGAGAGAGAGACTTTGCCCTACCCTCAGACGGGGTGGGAAAGTGGACGTATCCGTACTTTATTTCCTCTCAGGTCCGGCGCCATCACACGTAACGGGAATGCGGTGGGCGAGGAGGACACTTCGGACCACACTCCGCGCCCAAAGTGATCAGCGCGACCACCACCACCACCACCACGAGACCTATGACGCCCATGACATCTAACCGTCCGGAATCACAAGACATGCTTGAAGGATCCGGACAGACTAGGCAGGCTCCGAGATTTGGACAGGCACTGGCAACGATCGGATAACAGATGCCGCGAAGCGCATGCTGTATGAGTACAGATTGCCGTATCGCGCATTTCGCCGCGCGCGCGCATGCGGTAGGCGCAGATTCTTACTTTACCACAACGACACCAAAACCAAAAACATCATTCGCCTCAACCGCCACTGCGGCGCCCCAAACACAATCGCGCAAGCGGTACGGATAGTTCCCGACCGGACGGTTCAGCCAAGGAATTGTTGGTTTTCAGCCGGACGTCGTTGTGCTGAGCATCCCTCGAGCTTGGGAGGTAGTTGAAGCTCGAAAGCTGAAGCTCCTCTAAGGGGGGTACCGATCATCAGTAACGGCGCCTTGCTGCTTATTCGTCGTGTCCATACTCTTGCTCCGTACGGATACACCAGGACGGCAATTAGCTCTTGTTAACGGACGTCAACAATTTATGTCGCATGCCCCTCGGCCCCATCATGCTCCTGCAATAGATCAAGGTGGTCAACACGAAGTTTTTCCAGGCCCTGGAAATGAGGATACTCTAGGCGTGGCTTTCACTGGCTGCGCATCTCCCGACCTTGACAGGCTCATGCTCAATTACCTCGAATCGGCTTCCACAACTGGCCTTACAGATGGGGTACCTTACCACCTTACCTCTTGTTTGTTGGGGAAATCTTTGACAGGCACTATGCAACTGGCCCACCGCAAGCCATGCCATATCCACTCCTTCCACTTCATCTTGGCCTTCCATCCTCCAACCTTGGAAGACGATTTGCAGTCTTGCGATGGCTCGGCCGGCTTTCTGCACAATCACATTCGGACGGCGGGGACAGCTCGTGCTAGAGGAAGCTTGGGTGGATCAAACGGGCCAGGGGAATTCCAGGCGTAGGTCCAGTCGAGGCCGCTTGGTGACACCAGCTGAGCCCCAGAAACTGTGGGTTGTCTCTGAGTTTCTGGAGACAAGTCCGCCATGGACATGCCGTGTATTTTTGGAAGTGTCTCTGGCCGGGAACGCTTGAAGCCGTTCGTTCCTCCAAGCCAAGCAATGGAGGTAGGGCAGGGTCGGCTACCTGGTCCTCATGTCTCCTTTACACTTCACGTTGGGGATTTGGGGTGCCTCGAGTTTGGACTATTGCCTTTGGATGCCTATCCGCCACAAGATAATAACGTGTATCTGTGCGTGACTAGCTTGGCTTGGTGCTTCATCATGACCGGCCATCCTGGCCGCGGATGGTGGTGTGCTGCTGACGGATCTATGTAGGTACTAGGTATTCGCACAGCTACCCAAGCAAGCTACCGACGACCCTTACTGTGTTTTGTCTCGTCCATCTTGCTCGGTTGTTGACTGCTTGTGGGAAGTATACAGGATCTTGGACAAGGTTCACGTAGCTCCGTCTCTGGTTCCCTCATCGCACATAGCTCTACAGGCCCAACGGCACGACATACATACATGCCTAGACACATAGACTAGACACACAACGCACACGCACACACACACAAGTTATCCAGGGCACGGAGACTGTTGGACAGTTGGGCTCTTCCGCCCGCCCGACCGCCCGCCCTTCCTTGCGCCCACGCACGCACTCACTAGAATTACACGCCCGAAGGTAGCAACATCAAGACATCAAGATTCCCGACGCAAAAGCAATGAACAAAATTTCCGGACTCCACCTCAGCGCTAATTCGTAAGCGAGGACGGTCGAAGACCCGTTCGGCTCAGGCTTCGAAGGAAACGGACAAGAAACAGAGCCTTTCTCCATTATCCATGCCGATCAGGGCACATGCGATGGCAACCTTGCAGGTCGTTGCATGTCTGCATTGCACGCTAGAACCAGAGACACCCGCTTACGCCAGGGTTGCTAAGAAGCGTATCCTCAACAACGTACCGTGCCCGTTGAGCGTTCGTTCCCTGTTCAGAGCAGCCAACTCTGTCTCTCGACTCGACCAAGCAGAACAAGAGGCGACGGGTTCATATGGAGCTGCCCGTCTACCGCCCATTCCTACTGTATGACTATGCAGCAACAATTGCCAGGCTTCCTCATGCCCAGATACAGATTTTCAGCAATGTGGCAAGGGTACCCGGCACGCCGATCCATCGTCCAGCTTCGTTCTAGGCCCAGCGATGCCCCTCAGCCCGGCGACATGTCTCTAGCGGCCTGGCGCATGGCCGGGGTTTTTGACCAGTGGCAGTCTGCTGCTAGTGCTCCGTCTCAGCTGCCTTTATTCTGCTCTCGAATGTCTTTTTTTCTGCCCAGAGTCTCGATGACCGCTGCATCGGCGTCCCACTTACTGGGGAGTCGGGACGGTGGTACCTCTCCGTGCCGCTCAAAGACTCGATCCTCCATCTATCCGTAGGCAATTACACTACCTACCGGTATGTCTGATCCTGAGCTTCAGGCTGCTTGTCCATGTCTGCCTGTACCTCGACTCTTGAGGCAGGGACTCGGGACGCCTGCTCTGCACTGCGTGGCGACCAGACTGCGCCCAACACACTCCGTCCATAGTCTCTAAAGGCGCTTGCGATTGGAGAGACAGACCGGCGACTCTTGGGTGTATCTCTCGGCTATCGAACGCCCTCTGTTCATCGGCATCCCACCGCGGTTTCTCTTTGTTAATTTCGCCTTGTTTGGGCCGTTTATCGGACAGCATCTCAGCTACGGATACGCCTACGAGGCGGCGAAGAGGTACTTGCAGTAAAGACGACGACTTGGAGGTTGGAGAGACTTTGAAGTCTCGACTAGAAGAAAAGGCTTAGGGCCTAGAGCATGGCTGTCTCTCTCTCTCTCGCAGTCTCCCCGTCTCCCCCACCACAGCAGCAGCAGCACCAGCCAGCTGCTCCATCCGTCACGGAACGGATACAAGCAAGTCTTCTTCACCTTGCCCACCCCCCCTTCTTCGATACCAGCACCCTACACGGATACCGGGTTACCTGCGTTCGCCGTACTTCTATGCCTCTCAAACTGAGGAGAATCGTATGCCGGCGTATCCTCACCCTACCCTACCTGGACCCGACCTCCCACCTCCAATCTCTCCAATTGAATGGCCTAGAACGACGGCCGTGGAAGGGGGGTGGATCACCAAATCATCACTAAACACACCACCACGACCGTCTTTCGACTGGCCTACCTTACTCAACCTTCCAAACTTCCCGTCCCGTCCACCACGAACCAGCCCAGACCAGGCCAGGCCTGACAAGGGCACTGTGTCCCTGCACGTTCGACACCTTTTTCTCTCTTCGGGGATCCTGTACATACATCTCACGCCTCGACCTTGACCTCGATTTTGACACGCTCGACTCACCTCAAAACCCCCCGGGCATCTGTCCTTGACTGCACTTCTCTTTGAGGAGAATGAGAAGCGGCAGTAGCAGTGAGAGAACCACTACATCGTTGCTCTCAGGTACCCATCCTCTGGAGGGCAGGCAAAGTAAATCATCAACAACCAGCCCGGTCTCGAGCTTCCCCCGACATTCGACGGTCAGCAACGAAACAGCAGGTTCTTCAGACTTTTGAGAGAGAGAGAGAGAGAGAGAGAGGGCCACGGCGCCAGTCTCACGGTTCACCTCCAAGGTCGCCGGGCTAGAAGAAGATACCTTGCCAAAGCAAGCAAGCCCTTCACTCTCCGTCCCTACATTACTCTATACCTTGCTTTGCCTTGCCTTGCCTTGCCTTACCTTGCCTCGGACGAGGCACTGGACCACACGGCACCCGTACCGCTCTGCACCACACACCCCCAACGCCCCGGGGAAGCTTGGATCATTCATTCATTGCAACTACCAAATTTGGTCTCTTTTTTCCTAATCCCATCTAACCCCCTTCTCCTCTCTTTCCCTTCCTTCCTCACTCACGAACTCCCATCTTCTTCTTAGAGCTTCATCTTCTTCCATTGGCGACGGATCCAGGGCCGCTTCTTGAGTAACATCGGTTACGACCTGTCCGGCAGACGGCTACTCCATCTTTGTTGGACACGGCAGAGCAAACAGCTGTTACTGCCCACGCTGCTACTCGGACCAGATCGCTATCTCCAACAACAAGATCGACGTTGCTGCAGCTTCTGCCTCTACTCCCGTCGCTCGTTTTCGCTTTGCGCCTACGCCGCACCCCCCTCCGACAACCACTTTCACCCGCATTCACAGCATGTGTGGCCGGCGAATGACTCGACACCAGTCAGATTCAAGATCCAGCGTCGCGAACCAGAACAGAGGCATCACTAGCCGTGCCTGGGAACTTGAATGTGAACAACGTTGATCAGCGCATTGATCTACAGATACAGCTGTATTTGTTGTTCATCCCACTACTAGAAATCGCCCGCTACGTGCGCGCGTCAAAGTCTGCACGCAGCGAAAGACACCCTCGAGCTTCGGACCACGAAGCCAGGCACTGCCGCTCGACAACGGCGTTGCTGCCGCCGCTTAGCTGTGGTGTGCCGCCAAGTGTGCTTGCCTGTGCTACGTTGTGCTGTGTTTCCTCGCTTCGTTGCTCACCGTCTCTCCCGCTCCCGCTGGTAATCATTGCCGGTGCCGAACGGGGGGGTTTCTAGAAATTTTGCATTTCACGGCACAAATGGCCGCCGCAACCACCTCTGCCCCGGAAATGGGCACAGTCACAACAACACTGCATCCCAACACGAACCTTGCTGCAGTTGCTCCCATGGGCTCGATACCTAACAACGCCCCAACTCCTTACGAAACATCACCAACTCTACCATCTCCCCATACTCTCTCTACCGGCGCGCCGGGACCCACGCCTGCACCTGCGGGAACCCCTGTACCACCACCTGCTGCCGGCGGAGCATCAACCTCGGCGGCGGCGGCGGCAGCGGCAGCAGCAGCGGCGGCGGCTTCGGCATCACGCAGTGTCAAGAGGCCGCGGCCCGTCAAGTCGTGCACCGAATGTCGCAAGCGCAAGTTGAGATGTGATCGCAACTTGCCATGCTCGCAATGCCAAAAGTCACATCGCAACTGCAAGTATGCCGCCGAACACGACTCGTCAATGCTCTCAGATGGCTCGGATGCCGAGATGGGCGAGGTGCAGCGTCCGCCGAAACGGAACTGCCTGCCCACAACCGCGACATCAGGTCCACAGACGGCTGAGTCGTCTTTTGTGCCTTTGCGCAACGGGGAATCAACTGGTCACACTGCTTTGGAGGAACTCACTTCACGATTGGACCGCTTGGAGAAACAATTCATGATTAGGAGCCCTGCAGGCACGGAATTCAGCGGAACTGGTCAGCGTTTGCCGCTATCGCCGGAAACAATTCGTGGGCTGACGGTGAAGAGAGGCGCCCTACGGACTCGATTTTTTGGCCAGAACAGTGTGCGCGTTTTGTTGAACTTGGTAACTGTTCCCGAACCCCTTTCACTCCGAGACTCTTACCCCTAACCCTACTCTTCTAGTTTGACGAGGCCAAAGACTTCATGGCAAACCAGTCCAAGATTGAGGGTATCCGGGAGACCATGTACGGTCTGCAGATACTACACAAGAGGATCCAAGAGGAGTACCGAAAGTCCTTGTCCCCGATATCCGTCTTTGCCGATTCGGTTATCCCAGTCCAGAAGCGCATGCAGGATATTCTTCCCAAGAAATCGATATGTGACAGGCTACTGGCTTCTTACATCGACACGTCCGAGACCATTTACCGAATGATTCATGTTCCTACTTTCAAAGAACAACACGAGTTGTTCTGGGAAGGGAAACTACAGGGGGACACATTTCTTCCCCAGCTTCTGACTGTGCTGTCCATTGGCTCGAGATTCGAGACCAAGTCGAAGGGACTGGGTCATGAGCGCGTGGAGGGAGTTCATATCCCCACAGCGTGCGCACTGGTCAGGTCGTGGCTCGATGGTTTGAAGGGCAAACAGCTGGTTGATTTGACAACGTTGCAGACCGAGATTCTCCTCGTCCACGCTCAGAGGATGACCACGCCGAGGCCACAGGATTCGTGGGCGCAATTAGGTTATATCGTACGCATGGCCATGACCATGGGCATGCACCGAGACCCATCGGAATTCGAACCTCGGGTGCCGGTGTTTTTTGGTGAGCTACGGCGGAGGCTGTGGTTCACGATACTGGACATGGATCTGCACCTCTCGCTGGCATGCAACCTGTCCTGCCTCGTGCGTGATGGAGACTTCACCTGCCGACCTCCCCGAAACCTTGACGATAGCGATTTGTTCTTCGACATGAAGGAGCTCCCGCCGAGCAAGCCCATCGACCAACTTACCGACAACCAGATGCAAGTATACGCTGCTATGACGTTGGGAGCTCGGATGCAGGTTGCGCACCTGATCAACCGCGTGGATTCGATCCGGGACTACAGCGAGATTATCGAAGTTGGGACGAAGCTCGACCGGTTCTTGGAGGACATCAACTACCTGTTCCCGCGACAAGGTATACTAAACGAAGTCGAAAAGAGCAAGCAGTGGAGGTCGAGGGTCATCCTCGACATGCACGTCCGACGTCCTCTGCTGGCTCTGTACCGCCCATTCGCGCTCGGTTTGCCGGATGCTCCATCCCAGATATCGAGGGCTTATTTGCGATCTTCAATGGTTATTATGCGATACCTCGACGAACTCGACCCGCTCCTCAGTCATTTCCAGGATGTCAGCGACATGTATCACATGGTACTGAAGAAGGACATTTTGCAGGCAGCCTTTAGCGTGTGCTTCTACATCAAGGCAGCAACCGAATCCCATATCAACGGGAATACATTTGGAATAGCATCTACCGTGGCCATGTCCCCGGATCCGATGGATGATGGGGTCACCTTCAGCACCGAAACATTTGCGCTCTGGTCACCATCTCGCTTGATCAAGACGGTCGAGAAGACGCTCAACCTACTTGTTCGCAATGTTGGTGGCAACGACGTCAAGGATATTGTCGCGCTCGCCGTGGTTCTGGCCTCGGTTCAGTCCACGAACCAAGAGCAGAAGCTGCAAGACATTCGACGCAGCCTTCAAGGCGTGCTCGACGCCTGTCAGACGGCTACGAATACTAGCCCCGAGAAGATGTCCTTGCCCAACCCGGCCGACCCGATGGATCCCTACATGCAGACGAGGCCTCCGTTCATGTTTCATGCAAATGCGTCGGCGGCTGCGGTAAGTGACTACGGCGGCTGGGTGCTGTGGGACGGATGGGACTGGGCTGATGCGTGGTCGGCAGACTCCGGATGATTACGCGGACTGGGACTTGGACTACTGGAATCCGATGATACCAGGCCCCTCCTAACATAACATGATGCGGGGTTGAGGATAGGGGTAGGATATGATCGAGGGAGACCGGAACACCCCAAAATTCGCCCGTGCCACGAACACCTTGTGGCTTGGGGTTGTTTTGCTGGGATTCTGCGTTGACAAATACACGACAAATACCGCGGCAGCGGTACGAAACTCCCCCTTTGCGGGGACATCATGGCGATCCAAGAGGACCCGTCGACCTTTGTCCTTGCTGGACATGTACGACCAATCACATGTCAACCGATAACAACAACAAGAACAACTGGACTGCCGGCGAGGATGAGCAGGTCATAATTCAGCAGTTGTTACTCACTTGTAGCACTTCTCTGGGTAAGAGAGGGATGCGATGCTAGACGATGATTATGCAGATATTCTAGCAGGGGAAACAAAGAGATGCGAAAAAAAGCCCACTGTGGGCAAGGGTGAGCACACGAGTAGAAACTCTGTAAATACATTACACCAAAGATACCAACAAGCAGCGGAGGAAGAAACCAAAAAGAAGGGCATGGTTGGCATTGCACAGCATGCTTATTACTACTACTACTACTACTTCCAGTACCAAAGAGCCTTCCCCTGTCTGACATGAACTCTAAATCCACCCGATGGCTTCTATCGCTTCTATCGCTTACATTGACTGAACTTGATCTTAGTTCGTGATTACAGGAGCACTGCGATTCCAATCATCCTTTTCGACCGCGTCCACCATGAACCCGGCCACGCTCCGTCTCGTGATCTTGGGCATCCAGCACACCCCGCTACCCTCGTCGTCGTACACCTTGACGGGAAGGCTCTCGCCCTCGATCAGCATGGGCGGCCTGACCAAGACCCAGTCCACGTCTCTGGCTGCCGCGTCGTCGTTGCCGTCAGCCCTGAACAGCGCGTCCACGGCGTTGTGGTCGTCGAGGGTGTGCTTCATGTTGGTGTGATTGAACAGGGCGCGGAGCGGGAAGATGAGGCTCTTGGCGCTCGCGCCGGCGCCTTGCATGCTGTTTATGACGAGTTTGGGGTTGCGAGGCGGGTTCAGGGTCTTGATGGCTCGGAGGGTGTTGGAGACGGAGTCGTGGAGGAGGGCGGGGGGCGTGTTTGGGTCGAGGGCTGAGAAGGGGGAGTCTGTCAGGCGGCGGGGGTTGAGGGTGATTATTATCGCGTCTGGTGGTGTTGGTGTTGTTTGCATTGCGGATTGGAGGTCTTGGAGGGAGAGGGGGGAGCCTTTTGCGAGGGTGAGGTTTTTGTGAGAGGGGAGGGAGGTTGTGGTGGGATCGCGGACGAGGGCCGTGATTGTGTGGTTTCGGGAGAGGGCTTCGGCGAGGACGAGGGTGCCGTTTCGGCCTGTTGCGCCGATGAGGAGGATGTGCATTTTTGAGAGTGGTGAAGGGATTTTTAGTTTTGGTGGCGTTGGTTTGGTAGTGGTTTTGGAATAGAGTATGAAAGGTAGACTGTAGTAGCTTTGAGGCTCAGAAGATGTGGTGATGATGATGATGATGATGATGATGTTGTTGGTGGTGGTGGTGATGAAAGGCTGGACACTTCTTCTACGCGACTTACACTTGCTCTTTATATTTTTCTTTAAATGCTACACTCTTTACTAGTCACTAGCTGTCTGCTACTGAGACCAGAAATCATTGGAAATCATCCTTTTCCATCCCGGCCGAGATTCTCTGCTTCGCTGGGAGGGAGAGGCTTCTTTCTCAGTGGTGTTGCTCTGTGTACGATCTATCGGCCGAGAAGGATTCAAGTCCGAAAGGAATTGGGGTGGCTTTGCGCCAGCCACGTTCGGCGCAGTGAGATTGATTGCGTGTCTGCTGACCAAACATACTCGAATAAATTCACGGAGCCGAACATGGTGAGGAGGTTTAAGTAGTTACAAGAGCAACTCGGCCGGGTGTTTGGTGGTCGCATTGGTCTCTCGACCGAGAGAACCACGACGGACGGAGGAAATTGGGACCCGACGCTAAGGTGGTGCTTATGCTTACCTTACCTTTACGCAGCGCAAGCTCACTCTAGATTTATGGGAGGCGGATCGTGTTGATTGGCCTTTTCGCATTCACCTCGCTTTTGTTGGCGCTCGGGAGATTTGGGACTTCTGATATGACCTTGGGATGAGTTTGAATATGGAGAGCTGGGTTTTCTTTGCGGTTCATGGTTTTGATGATTTACATACACGGCCCTCATCCCCCACTCACCCCCCTCTTACCACGCCAAAACCATCATGGTTCTTGAGGCCCAAATCATTCACCTAATTGTTTAAGAGCACGATGTCACAGAATATCGGGTTTAACACCCGTAAATTTGCGGGCGCTCTCCCGGATATTCAAAAAAAAAAGTTTAACGCCTATGGGGTGCAGATGCGATAGGAGCTTGGCAAGCATCTTTCTTTTTCGGTGAGCTGTGCTGTGTATGAAGTACAGTGTAAGAGACGGTCGGACGTGGGATGCCAAATCGGGGCCACTCGGCCGAGTTGGGGGACGTGTGGGAGGAGGGGATCTGAGTTCTAGGTTTTTCCCATTTGCAAGGGGGGTTTGGGTTGACGGGTTATGACGAGAGAAGGCAAGAGGAAAGTATGTGTATGGTGGTGTGCGGTGGTGATGCTTGGACAGTGTGAAAGGAGAAGAAAGAATATGAGACGGTTTGTTCACAATGTCTTGTGTATGGACGAGTACAGGCTTACCCTCAGGGAAGGTTTTCTCGGCGGGGCCGAGAGGTTCGAAGGTGAGATGGAACGATTCATAGTTTCCCCCCGTGCCCCCGCCTTTGGGATTGCTGTGCGCGTGTGTGTGAAGTTAGGGGAGCTCGGGGTTCACGTTGACGCCTTTTCTCCGGTCGGGGGTGGTCTGGAGGGAGGGATTCGGGAGTATGAATCTTGTTCCCCATAGGTGTGTGTGTATACAACTTTATGGGATAGGATGGTTCAGGGCAGGCAAGTCGATCCTATTTCTTTCGGTGTAGTTACATAGCGAGAATAGTGCTTACTCGGGGTGAGGTGGACATCTGTGGGTAAGTAATCCCCCCCTCTCTGTTTCTGACAAACCGAAGCTTTGTGTGATTAGTGATTTTGGGGCCGCAGGGTGAACGGTGAGATGGAGGGAGAGCAGCGATTCGGCGGCTCGGGTTTGGTGACGGACGCGGAGAAGGAGGGGCCCGGAGCACGGAGGACGCTTTACTGTATTGGGCAGTTCGTATGTGACTCGGCCGAGTGGCGGGTCCGGTCACACGGAGGAGGGGGCGCGGCCGTGTGGCTTTCTTGGTGAGATGGCGAGATTGGTTCATGGAAGCGGGCGCGCTTGAAGGATGATGATGTGTTCTTTTGGCTTACCAAGTATGGGAGGGATTTATCTCATGGACTTCTGGGCACCTAGGCAGGTCGGAATGTGAAGCTGGACGGGTATAAAGGTTCATGGAGTCTCCTCATATTGCTGCGTTGAGGATATCAAGGCAGGCAAACACCAAGCAATTCTCACCATCGTCGTTATTGATATTAGCACACACCACGCAGCACACGGATCATAGTCCGCTAGCCACACATTACACTCCATCTTGTCACACACATTTACCATTACCCTCACTCAGAGCATCACTCACAATGCCCACCGCAACAACCCTACCCCAGGACATCGTCGACGACGTCGCCATCATCGGCGGCGGCATCGCAGGCATGGCCCTCGCCCTCGCCCTCAACGCGCACGCCATCCCCGCCACAATCTACGAGTCCCGCGACGCCGTACCGCTGCCCCACCACGCCGGCGGCGGCATGATGCTCTGCCCCAACGCTCTGCGCATCCTCGAGTCCCTGGGCGTCTACGAGCCGCTCCTGGAGAAGGCGTACAGCTTTGACTACGTATACTACAAGGACCGCGACGAGGTTACCGTCGACCGGTACCCGCTCGGCGGTCAGGCCGAGTTTGGGTTTGACGCCGTGCGGATTTTCAGGCAGGAGTTGATTGAGATTCTTGCGGGGGCGTGTCGTGCGCGCGGGGTGGAGGTGCGGTATGGAAAGAGGTTTATGAAAGTTGTTGGTGAGGACGACACAGGAGTGGAGTTTGAGTTCGCGGACGGGGAGAGAAGGAGGGCCGGGTTACTTGTCGGCGCGGACGGGATCCACTCACGGGTCCGGAGCAGCCATGTCGCGCCGGAGGCAAAGCCCGGGTTTGTGGGACTCGCGGCGCTGACCTACGCGGTGCCGACGGCGCAGCTGCGGGTCCCGGAAGACAAGGACTACAAGTTCCCCGTCAGCGTGGCGAGCGGCAACGGGGTGTTTGTGCTGGCGCCGCAGGGGCGGGAAGGCGGGGAGATGCTGGCGGGGACGCAGGTGCCGTTTGACGCGGACAAGGCGAGTCTGCCGCGGGAGGCGCTGATGGCGGATAAGGAGGCGCTCAAGGCGAGACTGAGGTTGAACGAGGAGGCGTGGCCGGGCTTGGTGCGGTCTGCGCTCGAGGGGATCCGGGACGAGACGATGAACGTGTGGCCGTTTTTCATGTTGCCTGCGCTGGAGAGGTGGGCTTCGCAGGGTGGTGCGGGGCGGGTTTTGGTGTTGGGGGATGCGGCGCATGCGATTCCGCCGACGACGGGGCAGGGGGCTTCGATGGCGTTGGAGGATGCTGCTTCGCTTGCGCTGGTTGTGAAGAGGGTGAGGGAGAGTTCGGGGAAGATTGGGTGGGAGGAGGGTGTTGGGTTCTGGCAGGGGATTCGGAGGGAGAGGTTGGGGAGGTTGGTTGGGTTGACCAAGATGTTGAATAATAAGAGGCTTCCGAGCGATGAGATGGCCAAGTTGCCGCGGGAGGAGGTTTGGTTCGAGGAGGGGGAGGGGCAGATGAAGTGGTTGTATGTGCCTGAGATTGAGAAGCAGGTTGAGGAGTGGGTGAAGGGCAAGTTGCAATGAATTGTAGGTTTTGTGTTGTGAGTTGTATGGTGTCCTGGAAAAAACAAATAGACTGATAAAGTACAAAGTTAACTCGGAAGTGATAATGCTTGATTCTCCCTGAACAGTATTGACCCTGGGACTTGCAAGGCTACCTATGCTCATTCAAAAGTCGTGTTATGTAAATTGTTCCAGCATTGTACAGACAGACTGCGGTAGTTGCTCAAGCCCATAAGACGTGTCTCTTCACAAGTTCACGAGGTATCAGATGCGAAATCAGAGAGTCTGAATCACCTATTCGAGTCAGCATTTCGTTACATTCCTTGCTAATTAGTCCCCCCAACGACAGTTAACCACCGCAGTAGTCCGACGACAAGGTTACCAAAAAGGGCTGCAGCACTAAACCTGGCAAAGAGGGACCAGATTTTTACCTCGGCAAGCAACATGATTGGCCATCATCTTTGGGTAAACAGCTGCAAGGTCTGAAGCTCAAAAGTGCTCGACCATCCTCTTAGCGGCCGGGGCCTCGGCATTCTGCGTCTTCGAGACGCTGTTTCCCCGCATCGAAGCTCCCCATGGGCCCCAATGATCCCCGTTGTTACATGCTAAGCTGTGGATTTGGGTGGTGTTTTGACGCTGGTTTTGGTCACAAAGTCACAGCGGATGGTGCGGAATTTGTGCCGGTAATCACATAGTACTACTCCGTAAGTACTAGGTAGCTCGGGGAGGGAGGAAACCTGGAGAAGCTCATCCCTATCCGTACCCGTATTCCCGGGGTAAAAAGAGAGTGGTGCTGGAAGAGGGGGAGGCGAAAGCTTGCCAACTTCACCTGTTGTTCTCTTGCAAAGCACATGAAAGACATATGTATACCTTGTTAATCGTTTCTAAATAGCCGGGGGAATATATCACAAGGTCCTACCCCAGATTATCTATCCAGGTGTCTCTCTCCCTCATCCTCTTCCATTGAGATTGGCAACTTCAACTACTCCCAAATCATCACCAAGCTCAACCAGAAGCCACCTCCAGTATCACAACCATACTACAGCAATAACCTCTATATCCTTCCGACACACACACACACACACACACACACACACACACATCATGGCGCCCAGACAACAACGCCAAAAGGCGCCTTGCTACGTCCTCGGCGTCGGCATGACCAAATTCATCAAGCCCCGCGGCAAGGTCGACTACACGGAGCTGGGCTTCGAGGCCGGCGTCAAGGCCATGCTCGACGCCCAGATCAACTACGACGACGTCGAACAGGGCGTCGCCTGCTACTGCTACGGCGACAGCACCTGCGGCCAGCGCGTCTTTTACCAGTTCGGCATGACGGGCATCCCCATCTACAACGTCAACAACAACTGCTCCACGGGGTCCACCGGCCTCGCCATGGCCCGCAGCTTTGTCTCGTCTGGCGCCGCCGACTGCGTGCTCGTCGTCGGCTTCGAGAAGATGATGCCCGGCTCGCTGCAGAGCTTCTTCAATGATCGGGAGAACCCCACGGGCACGACCATCAAGATGATGGCTGAGACGAGAGGCATCACCAACGCGCCCGGCGCTGCGCAGATGTTTGGCAACGCTGGGCGGGAGTACATGGAGAAGTATGCCGCCACAGACCTCTGCTAGATTGCTTTTACAACCCTTGCTAACACCACGCGCAGATACGGCGCCAAGGCCGAGGACTTTGCGGAGATCGCCCGCATCAACCACGAGCACTCCACAAAGAACCCCTACTCCCAGTTCCAGGACGTCTACACCCAGGAGCAGATCCTCAAGGCGCCCGAGATCTTTGCGCCCCTGACAAAGCTGCAGTGCTGCCCGACCTCGGACGGCGGCGCCGCCGCGGTGCTCGTCTCGCAGGCCTTCCTCGACGCGCGGCCCCACCTCAAGGACCAGGCCGTCCTCGTCGCGGGCCAGTGCCTCGCCACCGACGTCCCCTCGCTGTTTTCCCGCTCTGCTATCGATCTCATGGGCTTCGAGATGACGCAGCACGCCGTCAAGGCCGCCATGGGCGAGGCCGGGCTTACTCCCAAGGACGTGCAAGTTGTTGAGCTGCATGATTGCTTCTCGGCCAACGAGATGATTGTGCTCGATTCGCTTGGGTTGGCGGAGCCCGGGAAGGCGCACGAGCTTGTGAGGCGCGGGGACATCACGTACGGAGGCAAGTACGTCGTCAACCCGTCGGGCGGGCTGATTTCCAAGGGGCACCCGCTCGGCGCCACGGGTATCGCGCAGTGCGCCGAGCTGGTCTGGCACCTGCGCGGCTGGGCCAACAACCGTGCCGTGAAGGGGACCAAGGCCGCGCTGCAGCATAACCTGGGCCTGGGAGGCGCCGTGGTGGTGACGGTGTACCGTCGTGCGGACGGTAAGGAGGCTCCGGCGATTGATTCTGCGGCGGTGGGCAAGGCGAATAAGCTTGGGTATAACCCGGCGGTCGAGGCCAAGGGGTTCACGGCGCAGCAGGCGGCGGCTGTGAGGAGTAAGACCAAGAAGAGCGATTGGGCTCTGCAGGATACGGAGGAGAAGGTTGAGGCGCGGTTCTAAGAAGAGAGAGGGTTGCCGGGATCTTGGGTCTGTATTAATGAAATTGTGAAAAATAAGTAGCTATGAAATACATGTTGCATTGATCAAGCACGCTGGCTTCGTCTGATTATCATTGACGTCGTTGATTCTCTCTTATCCCTACCCCTTACTTCTAGAAGTGGCCTGATAGAGGCGTACCCCTACGTGCTGTTTGTCTTCTTGACTTCGTACGTCAACAGCGTCACCCAGTAACCCTCGCCGCCGTATTTGGTGTCATCTTGGTAGCCGCGGTGAACTTCTTTGAAGCCCAGCCTCTTGTACACGTTCAGGCCGGCCGGGAAAGCCAGGATGAAGACATCGATACCCGTCTCCTCGGCGAGCCGGATGCCCTCCTTAACGAGGACGGTGGCTATTCCCTTGCCTTTTTGGTCGGGATGAACAGCAAGGTAGTCGAGACCTTTACTCGCATCTTAGCTCAAGAACCCATAGGTCTCGGGAGGGAATGGGGGAGAAACAATAGACCCGAATCCGATTCCAAGCCCGAAACTCGGGGCCACTCCCATTCACCTAGGATCCGACGAGGTACTTACTGATATACGGCTTTTCCGCCAAAATCCGCTTCTTCTGCGGAACGCAATCATCGATCCCGTCCATATCAATCGGCTCCCACCACGCCGCGTCAGAGCGCTCTTTGATCGCCCTCCTCTCCTCTTCGCTCACCGCATCAACTGCAATCCTCGAGCCGGCCCACGCCGCCGCGTCGCGGTGCCCGGCCGGCAGCTCCCAGCGCGCGTAGCCCACGAGCTCGCCTGTTTCCGTGTCGGCGGCCTTTTGGTGGCGTAGGATGGCGGTATCGCGCAGGAGGTTATTTGGCATGCGCTTTGTGGCTTCCGTGATGAGGAAGTCGAGGGTTGTGTTTTTGGGCCAGAGGAGGTTCCAGTTGGGGTTTGTCCAGAAGGCGGAGATGTTGTTGCGGGCTAGGGCCGGGCTGTCGGCGAGGGTTACCGGCAGGATTGTGTAAGGCGGCATGGTTGAAGATGTAGTTGGGTGAGGTTCGAGGAGTTTGTTGTCTGGTATTTGATGCTTGAGGTTGGGGATGTTGATGGATTGAGTGTCTTAATGCCAGATTGCCAAGGATCGTGGGCTAGGTTATATACCAAGGCTCGAGACGGTGTAGTTCATCAATTGTTGTAAGTCAATGGCGCAAAGGTGCGATCTGGTCTCTTCTTGATAATGACAGGTTACCTCAATTGCGTGATTTACTCACATTCGTCTGTGAAGATGAGTTGCAGAGCTAGACTAACTAGAATGAGCTGTGGTGAAGAGTCACTGTTTGTTGCGGATGAGTCTCTCGAGAACGCTGATTTGCTGGGTCCCTTTTTGGAAGGATTCGGCCGTGTATCCCGGTCTTTTCCCCTTGGAGGAGATGTGTTCCCAGGGTGCACCGCTTACTGGTCACGAAATCATGTCTTTAGTTCAACGGCAACAACACTTGTCTAGTCTTTTGTAACAGAAAACCTGTTCAGCGAATGTTGCCTGATGTGTTGACTAAAATCCCCAAGTCTCAACGCCTGCAACGCTCAAGGCTTTAAACGGAGTTACGGAAAGCAGTTTCTTGGGCTCAAATAGCAGCCATGACTCGAATTTTCTCCGTATCGTAGATGCCGATTGCTGACCGGCACAGAATTGCCGAGAAACACATTGAAGATGACGTGGTTATTTCGACTGTACTTGAGCCTTTTTCTTTTATCAGCTTCAATTGGATCATTGGTAAATCTCCTCGTAGCGTCATTGCGCGAGAGGAAATTGGTAAGCGAACCCTCCCCGGCATGAGATCTTGAGCGCGAGGTCGAGTTGCATAGGTGAATCTGAGCTTTTCGCCAAGGATATTTGTGTTTATAGAGCCTTAATTGGGTCTCGACGAAGATGCTGCTCGCAATCAAGAGACATGGGACTGATGTTGTGAGCATTGTGCTCGCACTCTGTCTGATAAGGCCTTCTCACGCCCGAGCCAGCTGCGCGAGTCATATAGTTGACTGACAACCCAGGTGCGATGATGACAACATACGGTACAGAGTCGCAAAATCGTAGAGCGACAGTTGTCTCAAGCTTTCACAACTCTTACCCGGAGCCCCGGACTATATGTTCGTGTGGGATAGTCCAAAGAGCGCGTATTTGGCTGACTTTATCTCCCACTTCCCCGAGATTACTCTCCGTAATACGGATCGTCGAAACGTTGAGAGCAAATGACTACTAGCTTCGAAGTATATTAGAAAGCTTTAATCACCCGGTGGGGTCTAGTTGGAAGCTACCTAGGGTCAAATTGAAGGTGAGGAAATAACTGCTCTATTGCACGAGTCGTCTGTCAATGTCCGACGGCCTATACGCAGATATCACGAGAACGAACTCCACAACACCGCCCGCCGGGACGAACGGCGTCACCGCCCATCCTTGTATCGTAGGCGCGGACTGTATCCGTACGCCCTCGTACTCCGTACAAGAACACAGGACTAGGAGTATCCGTAGGGCGCAGTAAATCAACCATGAGAGCTTAGGCCTCGCAAAAATATGGAAAGAATGGGGAGGGAGATAGGAGAGGCAAAGGTTGCTATATAACCAAGTAGAGAGGATGCAAACCATCCCACTGGCAAGAGCTCTTACCTGGACCCATTCTGTCCGTTTTTTGCCATCCCACCAGAGCCTATTGTCAGTCAACACACCATGAAGCTGTCTTCGTCCCTCTTCTTCATCGCCCAGATGGCCGGCACCGCTTTCGCTCTGAGCGGCGACGGAGCAAAGTGCCAGCTCAACATTGACTGCCTCAGCGGCTACTGCATGCCTCACACCGGCTCGTCGGAGTATGTTTGCTGGGGCCAGCGCCGCAAGGGAGGTTAGTCGATGCCCACATGGCATTGAGATACTGCAGTTGCTGATGAGAGTTTCGATGCGGTTTAGATTGGTGCAACGTCAATTACACCGGAACTGTGTGTAACAACGGTTTGAAGTGCGTCTCTTACCAAGGTACGTTTTTCAAATAATTCTTTCTATGGATGAATCAGGATTCGGTCTAGTAGTATGATACTCATGCTGACGTGGTTGATAGGGAGCTGGTTCCTTGGCAAGTGCACTTAATGTCTGCTTTGATAGCTTTGGTGGTTCTCGGTACGCTTCACACAGTAGAGAGGCACGGTATCGGTGGACACTCCTATCGTCTCGATAGGACTATTTTTTTTCTTTTCGTCTCTGCCTTTTCAGCTTTCCCTCCTGCAAAGTTCATAGTCATGGGTCAATCATGTCATTGGGCGCCATCACCTCGTGAGCCGCGCACCTGGCTGAGTTCGCGGCCCCTCCAGGTGACAGCAGCTCATAATGTTGTTGGTAGCTTACATGACAAGAATGAGTCTAAGTGGTGATAGTCCAATCAATAAAGTAATGAACACGATTAAGAAAGCCCCATCATCTTAGTGCTCCAACCTTTAGCGTGACAAGTTTACATCTCAGAGTATGTCGGGGCGAGAAGTTGTGCCAACTGGCTTTCCCAGTCGTGAATACACCAATCATGATCTTTAGTGAGCATGTCCAAATGTAAATGATGAAAGAAGATGCATCTTAGGCAACACATGCTCTGAAATGGTATTATTATACGAGACACCGCTATATCCAACACTATCTTTGCCTCCTGGCTTCACCGGCCTCTTTGCCCAACTTCTCCAACGCCTCCTCATATTTCTGCACTCTCTCCTCCTCGAACCCGCCGCTGTCGGGGTCTCCGATACGCAGACGATCAACCTTCTCCGCGCGGCGGATCCCGCTGCTCGGCTTGGCAATCTTACCCCAGAACCAACCACTCTCGCCGTCCTCGACCAGCGTCCAGGCGGCGCCGGCGCGGCCGGCACGCGCGGTACGACCGACGCGGTGGACGTAGCCGGCGGCGCTGGCGGGGAGGTCGTAGTTGATGACGTTGTCGAGGAGGGGAAGATCGATACCGCGAGCAACAAGGTCGGAGGCGACGAGGAGGCGGAGGCGGCGAGCAGCGAAGGCGCGGAGAGCACGGCGGCGGTCGGAGGTCTTTTGGGTCGAGGTGAGGGTTGCGATGGACGGGGCCAGGGAGGGGTGGAGGAGGGAGATGAGGCGGGAGAGACGGAGCGCGGATTCGTTTGATTTGGTGAAGATGAGGGCTGTTGTTGTGAAGGGTTTCGTGGAAGATTTGGAGGTGGTGGCAGCGGCGGCTGTTGAGCTGGCGTCTGAGGAGCTGTCCGAGTCCGAGTCGGAATCGGAGTCTGACGAAGAATCGGAGTCTAAGGAATCGTCTGATGAAGAGGTGGCGTCGTCTTCAGCGGGCGGCTCGGAAATCGTCTTGGACGTGGTCTCGGACATGAGGTGGCCGTCAAGAAGGAGGTCGATGAGGTAGAGCGGCTTGAGATTCGCGTCGTGTACTCTGATGGCCGACTCCTTGAGCAGAGTAGGCAGGGTATGCTCGGCAATAGATGCTGTGCTGTCGGCTTGTTCGCCTTCCAAGACGATGAGCTGCGGCCTACGGAGTTGTAGCCCACTCAGCAAGCTAAGGTCTCGCGTCAGGGTGGCACTGAGGACGACCTTACGCACGCCGCTCAGGTTTGAGTCGGGAAAGTCGCGAGCGCTGAATTTGTTGGTGCTGAGTTTGGGCATGACGGTGTCCAGCCAGCCCTGGAAACTCTGAGCGAGAAGCTTGTCGGCTTCGTCGACAACCATCCAGCGCACATAGTCTAGTGAGAAGCCGGGGGTCAGGTTAATGTGCTCGACGAGCCTTCCGGGGGTGCAGATCAGGACGTCGACCTTGGACGTATAATCGACAATGTGATCCGGCAGAGACCCCACGGTCGGCTTCGTTACTGCTGCGTCTTCATCTTCCGCTGTGGTGTCCTCAACATCCTTCCATGCCTCCAATTCCCTTTGGTGTGCGACACGGTATGCTTCAGGGTCGTATTTCTCCCCCTTTTCGATGAGACTGGCCTGCTCGTGCTTCAACTGCTGACTACCAATGGAAATACCGATGCGTACTCTCTTCTGCTCTCGGCCATCGAATGCGCTGGCGCAAAGCTCGAATACCTCCTGGGCCTGCTTGACCAACTCACGCGTCGGCAAAACGACCAGAGCCCGCAGTCTCGTCACGGCGCCTTGGCTGATGTCGCGCACGATGGGCAAAGCGTATGCCAGCGTTTTACCGGATCCCGTGGCCGCGGCAACGAGGACATCCCCCTGGCGATGCTTGCAAGATGGCAGAAGCAAGGGAAGAGCGGCCGTCTGAACAGCAAAAGCGTCCTTGAACCCCTTTGACTCGAGAATCTGTGCTGCTTTCGGGTTGATGCCAATGTCTGCAAAGGGTGTCCGTGTGTCGGGAGCTACGCGGATAGGGGCGGCGAGCCATGGTGGTAACGTCTCGTAAGAGGGTTTCGAGGTATCGAGGGCGGTCGGTTCGGGTTGTGGAAGGGGCACCAAGTCGTATTCTTCTTCCTTCTCCTCTTCCTCTTCCACGTCCATCTTGTCCGCGGCTTCATTCTTGGCAATTAGTTCTGCTGACTTTTTCAAGTACTTTGTAGCCTTGGCCAGGACGTCCTTGTGGCGTCTGTCGACGGTATCATCCTCTGCATCCTCATCCTGTTCGCGGTCCTTCTTCTTCTTCCTCCTATCCTTCTTCTCCTTGCTATCCCCCTCCTCGACAACCTCAGCCTCGGATTCGCGCTTTTTCTTTTGCTTCTTTTCCGCGGACTTTCTTGGTGACGTCTCTTCTTCGTCTGATGCAGCTCCAGTTTCCGACTTTCTTGACTTCTTCTTCTTGACGGGGGTATCTACGGCCTCGACGGGCTCTTCATGTTTGCGCTTCGTTGCCGGGGACAAAACGTCAGGTTCTGTCGGTGCTGCACTTAAATATGAGGTGCGAGGTTTCTTGGACGGTACGAATCGTGCATACGGAACGGCCGCCGTGGTACCTTCGGTCACGACTGGCTCGCTAGCTGGTATCGCGGATGGTTCTGGAGCTGGGGGAGGAGGCGGCGCCGAAGGTTCGACAGGCGCCTGAGCCTCCTTCTTTTTGGATGGAACATAGCGAGCGTACATGGTGCCAATTGGGCTCTCGCGAACCTTGTAGAGTCGTTGCGAACGTCGCACAAACCTCTTTTTTTTTTTTTTTTTTCGCAGCGAGGCTTGACATACAAATGTTGGAGGGGCACCTGTCGCACCATCCCAAAAAAAAGTTGGATGGACTTCCTTATCGCAATTCTGCCAGTCCCTACCGCTTACCACATCTTGCTTATCGGACTACTATGCCGCAGCTCCCCCCTTAGCTTCATTCGCGTACCTTCCAGGTGGTTGCGCAAGGTAAGGTACGTAGCTGAGCAGGACCTTGAGGAACACACCTCTCCGTCCTTTTCTATTTGCGACTACAAATCTTGTCCCGCGAGTTCACGATTGACAACCTGCAATGCTTCAACATCATTCCTCTAGGTGACCACCGCTCGCGCCGAGCATATAGACAACATGGCTCGAACATACAATATCGCTATGGCTAGCGACTTCTTCTTCCCACAGCCAGGAGGAGTCGAAAGTCACATTTACCAGCTGTCCACGAAGCTCATCGATCGAGGCCACAAAGTCATCATCATTACCCACGCTTATAAGGGTCGCACCGGTATTCGAAACCTGACGAACGGCCTGCGAGTCTACCACATCCCCTTTCTCGTCGTGTTCCGATCTGCTAGTTTTCCAACCGTCTTTTCAGCCTTTCCCATCATTCGCAATATCCTCATCCGAGAACAGATCGAAATCGTCCACGGCCATGCCAGTTTGAGCACCTTTTGCCATGAAGCCATTCTGCATGCGAGGACCATGGGTCTCCGGACCGTCTTTACCGACCACTCGCTTTTTGGATTCGCCGATGCTAGCAGCATCTTGACAAACAAGATTCTCAAGTTTTCCCTGAGTGATGTGGACCACGTTATTTGTGTTAGCCATACCTGGTACGTCGCGCCGCGCCTTAGCCCTCGATCGGGCAGAACTGACTGGAACTATAGCAAGGAGAATACCGTCCTCCGAGCATCTCTAGATCCCCTCATGGTTTCAGTCATACCTAACGCCGTCGTGTCTGAGAACTTCCGTCCACTCGATTATCCCCCCACCGACGCCAATAATGCATTTGGCCAAAATCCACCTCCCGCACATCACCTGGGACCGAACGATGTAGTCACAATCGTCGTGATATCTCGTCTCTTCTATAACAAGGGAACGGATCTCCTAACGGCTGCGATCCCTCGCATCCTCGAGAACCACCCGAACACGAGGTTCATCATTGCAGGCTCAGGACCCAAGGCCATTGACCTCGAACAAATGATTGAACAAAACGTCTTACAAGATCGGGTAGAAATGCTGGGACCTATTCGGCATGAAGAAGTACGCGACGTCATGGTTCGCGGCCATATTTACCTCCATCCTAGTTTGACGGAAGCCTTTGGTACTGTCATTGTAGAAGCAGCCAGTTGCGGGCTGTACGTGGTATGCACTCAGGTTGGTGGTATTCCTGAGGTCCTGCCGTCGCACATGACTGTCTTCGCCAAGCCAGAAGAAGACGACCTGGTCGCTGCAACTGGAAGGGCTATTGCTGCGTTGCGAGCAAACAAGATTCGGACTGAACGTTTCCATGAGCAAGTCCAGAAGATGTACTCATGGACAAATGTTGCTGAACGCACCGAGCGCGTGTACCAGGGAATCACGGGCGAGCTCAGCGAAGCCGAATTCTACGGTTATGACGCTGCCAATTCTTCGACGTTCGGCAACAGTCGAGTGCGGTCTTTCGCCCTCATCGACCGACTCAAGCGATACTACGGCTGTGGTATCTGGGCTGGCAAGCTCTTTTGCCTCTGTGTCATTGTTGACTACTTGCTATACCTGTTCTTGGAACTTTGGTTCCCGCGAGAGGAAATCGACATTTGCCCCGAATGGCCGCGAAAGGTTCCTCAAGACGCGGAAGACTCTAAGGAAGACTGAAGACTGAGCGTGGCCTTAGTGTTCGACTCGCGCAACTGCCCAGCCTGCTCTGGGGAAAGATTGTTCGGTTGTTCAGGAACCAAGAGACGCAGGATCTGAGTCAATGTTCGAATCTGATTGTATAATTCCAGGCATAAGAGCAGCGACGCTGCTGACCAGTGGTTACCGGCGTGGACCGGCGATGGCCGGCGGAAATCAACGGACATTGAAAATTGGTTCAGATTCTCCACACTCCACGCTACCCCGAGTCAGCCCATCGAGTCTTTCAGATCCGCAACGAAATGCTTCCAACGGGAGAGATCCTTCAATGATAGCAGCCTGAAAGGAAATCAGCATGGAGTAGGGGTCTCGGCGCGCCGGATGGGCCTCCGTAGACATGACCCGGAGAGCCCCGATGAAAAGACGGGATTGGTTGGCATTCACGATGTGCTCAACACCATAGCGCAGGAACCATCTTCAACGGTCTGGGTCGGCAGTGAGCTGCCTGTTCCGGTCAGGCGCCCGGGTGGGCCATGCGACCATTTGAGCCATCTGAACCCCCACCACGCGCGCATCTCGACCATCTCACATGCACAGCGACACAAGACAAAAATCCAGCGATTTCCGCTCCTCGTTTACGAATTCTGGCCGTAATCACCAGCGCTACATATTGTTTGCTTATTACATCTCAGCCACAGTCGGCTTCTCAAATCATCAACGAAGCGATCTTCAAGTTTTCAACTTCACCAGACCCCGCACATCCACCTGCCCGCGATGGCCGTCGCACAAGACCTCCCCATGGACCTCCCCATAATCGATCTCGACGTTTTCCTTAACGAGCCCCGCGACTCCGCTGCAGTCCGTGATGAGTGCGAAAAGGCCGCGACTGCCCTCATCACCTATGGCGCCCTCGTGCTGCACGACTCCCGAGTCGCCGAATCAGACAACACTACTTTCCTTGACTTGCTTGAGGACTACTTTGCCCAGCCGACTGAAGAGCTCAAGAAGGATGAGCGTCCGGAGCTAAGCTACCAAATCGGCGTCACTCTTGAGGATACAGAGAAGCCCAATTGTGCAGTAGACGAGCCCTGCCTGAAGGTCATCGAGCGCCTGGCGGAAACCGAGCGCCCTCTCGACATCACAGCACACGACCCCGACCCAAAGTGCCGTTTCTTCTGGCGCATGGCCGAGAACCCCCCGTACGAGACCGAATTTCCCGGGCTCAACGCCCCCAATGTCGTCCCTGAAGCTCCGCACATTCGCGAGCGTTGGCCTCCTGCCATGGACAAGTGGGGCACTTCAATGAAGCAAGCCGTTACGGGCCTGGCAGAGATGGCGGCGGTCGGCTTGGGTCTCCCTGCCGATGCTTTCAGCTCTGCTGGCAAGTACGGACCTCACCTTCTCGCACCAACGGCTTCCGACTTGGTCAAGTACGGCAAGCAGGACACCATTCTCGCCGGTTTCCACACAGACCTGAACTTCCTGACTATTCATGGGCGTTCTCGATACCCTGGCTTGCACATCTGGGCGCGCAACACGGGGAAGAAGATTGCCGTCAAGATCCCCGAGGGCAACTACTTGCTCGTCCAAGCCGGAAAGCAGTTGGAGCACTTGACGGGCGGGCTCATCAAGGCAGGCTTCCACGAGGTTGTGGTGAATGAAAAGACACTGGCCGTGATCGAGCGCCGCAAAGCCGAGCTCCCCGATCGCCCTCTCGTCCGCATTTCGTCCACGTTCTTCTGGCACTTGTCATCAGACCACGACCTCACTCCCATTCCTCAGCTGTCGGAGCAGGCACAAAAGGTTAGGGCTGAGCAATTCAACCTGGGCAGGGACGAGGGCGAGGAGGTTACGTACGCGCCCATGAAGGTGGGACAGCAGGTGCAAGAGTAAGTCATCCGATCTCTTGGATGCGTTTTCTGATTGATGCTGACATATCATAATAGGGAGCTCAAGCACATTGCTCTGATGACATGACGAGAAACGAGATTCGCTGTATTATGATAGTACTATTAATGACAAAATTCCCAAAGCGTGGTATGCTTTTCTAAGCCTTGTAGAATTCCTCGCCCACAGCGACGTCCACCTTTTCCTTTGCAACTCTGTCAACTGCAGTCTTGGGGTCTTCGTCGCCGTCCAGCAAGTCAACCCACGACGTTGTGAAGCTGTCGTTTTCCGCAATAAGCGCGGCGACCTCGGCGACGGTCTGCCGGCTCGATGTGCCCTTTGCCTCCTTTGTCTTTCCAAACTCAATCTTGCCGGCCGGTTCCTCGGTCAGCAGACCGGGTCTCAGACTAATACCGGCAAAGCCATCTGTCCTCTTTTTCGATTCCTGCCAGAGGGCCTCGTCGGCGGCGATCTTGGCGAGGGAGTAGTTGTAGAGCTTCTTGTTGCCGTCAAGGGCGTCCTGCCAGGCTTTATCGGACCACCAGGTGGGCTTCGTCTTGCGGGAGCTCAGGTAGGAGACGAGGATGAACTTCTTGATAGAGGGTGTGGCGACGGCAGCGTTGATGAAGTGGATGGCGGCGTCGCGGTCGATTGTGAAGGTGCGGGAGGGGTCGCCTTTGCCGCCTGCGCCGGCGGACCAGAAGATTGTGTCTGGTTTGACTTCGTCTAGGATTGCTTGGGCTTTTTGTTGGGAGGTTACGTCCTCGATGCTGCGGACGAGGACGTTGAGTTTGCCGCTTGACTGGTCGGCGCCCAGTTTTTCGATGGCGGGGACCTGGTCTTGGGTGCGGATTATGGAGGTTACGGTCCAGGACTTTTTGAGGAGGATTGGGGTTAGGTGCTGGGAGACTTTGCCGTGGCCGCCGAGGATGAGGACGTGTTTGCTCATGGTGGGCTGTTTATTGTAGCTTTCGAACTATCTGGGGAATGCGTGGAGTTGTGTGTCTGGGCAAGGTTTGTCGTGATGTCTTGTAGTGTGGTGTGGAATATCAACAGGTACGCATTTGAGAGAGGCAGACAGTTGATTCAAATAGTGGTCACATCAGGTGTACGGAAGACGAGACCGCGGGGCTTTGAAATCAACCTGGATGGCTTCCCCGCTCGGCCCCATCAAAAGCACGGCGTTAAGGGCCGTGGATGACTTGATTCGGATGCGGGCGGACTGGCCGAGGTGGATCTCTACTTTATTGTACGTATATCCGTACTTTACCTTACCTTCCATGGGTAATGGGTACATGTTTTGTTGCGGAAAGAAGGACCCCGCGGATGAGCATTTTCGGGGACGGGGTCACGTCACCGGGGCGTCAGTGACGTACGTCCCGCGAGTTTATTTGCTTTCGCTTTGGCAGCTGTTCCCCACCAGATTGGCTAAAAGCCGATAACGAGCTTTCCTTGGGAAAGCACTCAATTGAGTTTTGTGGTGCTTGCCCCCGAGTCAGAATCCATGGCTTTCGGCGTTAGTTACTCAGCAACTTGGACGTCGGTCTTGGCCGACATGTCGTGCCCCTCCTTTACACCTTGACACGTTCGACGCCTGTTCGATCTCAGCTGTCACCAGGATATCGTGCTTGGTTCATTTCTAGGCAAGATACTTTGACTTTTACTTCAAGCGTCTAGCAGATCAAAGTCGCTCGGAAACCCGAGCGCAGCAAGATCAAATCCCTCCGCCTCGAGATTCGTCAGGCTCGACTGGAAGAAGTGAGGCGTTATGGGCCGAGACATGTGATTCTTGTCTAGGAGAAGAAAGGCATCCCTGATGGACATAATGACTGGAAGGTTTCTCGATGAGGAGGCCTATGTAGAAGATCGTGTTAGTGAAGTAGGACGCCCATGCTGCTCTCGGCCGGCTTGCTGGGTTGCGGAAGTCGTCGAGGCGGAGGGAGGGGTAGCGGCAGCGGACTTTGTCTTGGTAGGTGTCGAAAAGGGATGTCCTGATCGGGTCTACGTGCTATGCTGCCGCTATTGTGGAATGATGGATTAGGTGGTGTTTGTGGTGGTGGATTGTCTTCCTCTGAGCGAGCAAAGGTAGTCAAGAGGCCGATCGCGGGCGAACTCCTCGAGAGAGAGGCCGGTTCCGGTCCTGATGCGAATGAGACTCTGCGTTGGTGGTGATAGTGCTCGTCTGAGTTGGAATGATGTGTGTGAGATGCTTCATGCGCTCGGGTGGACCCTGATGGCAACAGCGGCTCTGGCGCACGGCCGAGTTCTCTGATTATCGACGACCGCCTGAAGACGAGCGTCGGTCACCTCGAGACGCGATATGCGCTCCTCCAACGATGCGATGTCACTCAGCCATGCTAGGGGTGTGCCTCGAGGGGCGGTGGTGAAGACGATGATGATCTGAACTCCTAAAGGGGGAGGTGATACCGCAGCATCAGTATAGCATTGTAAGAAGTTTGGACCAGGAGGGTTGTGAGCAGATCCAGATCGGCAGAGAGAGAGATCAACCGTCGCAAACTACTGTCTACGAACCAGCCAACAACATGAAACTGAATGTTTCCTCCTTCGCAACTGTGGAAGGGCAGGGGAGAAGGAGAAAAACCTTACAGCGGAGGGAACCCGGGGCCCGGGGGACCGGGTTTGATAGGACGACGGGAGCACCGCCTCGTTGCATTGCTCTCCGGAACTGGCGCAGTTGGCGCAGGGTCTCTGATCATCGCATTTTTGCTGGTTGAGGGGAAATGATGTTCAGCCCTTCCCCCCCCCCGCCCCCCCCTTTTTTTTTTTTTTGCTCCCGTTTGGATTTCCTCTTCCCAGCTTTCCTGTTACCAGGCTTCATCTTCTTTGGGAATGGTGGAGTTTGAAGTTGTGATGATCTTGGTCAAAGGGTCAGCCCAACTTGGGCAATGAGTGGTTGTTTCAAAATTGGTGACAGTGCTGCTTTAGGGTACCAGAAAATGGATGTCTCTGGCTCTTACACACAGTGAAGTGAAAACCCAGAAAGAGAAAGAGAAAAAAGGAGAGAAAAAAAAGAAAAACGGAAAAAAGAAGAAATAATAAAATAGCGACGTACCTTTCGCCGACGACGCCGTGAGCAGGCCTGCGTCTTGGTCCGCTTGGCCGGTGGTTCGCCGCGGTCTTCGGTCGCGGAGGCGGTGGTTGTGGGGTTGTACGGGGAGCCGTTGGCAGCGGGGGCCGGTGGCGTCATGGCCGCCGGGGGTGGCCTTTCTTTGATGGGTGTTTCTTGTTTCCTCTTTCCGTAGTGCTGTTGATTCTATTTACAGGGGAGCTGAAGAGTTCAGTTGTTTCGAGTTGAGGAGATGATGGCATTCTACATTTTCAACCCTCTATGATGCCATAGGCGGCAGTTTGAGTGATGACGGAAAGATGGATGATTGTCGTCCAGATGAGGCTCGCCGAGGAGATGGTGCGACTGATAAGCATATCCGTATCCTTACGTGGCAATCAACTCGGCATCCTCTCAGTCAATTAGGTTTCGGGAGAGATAGCGGCGGGACTCTGGAGTTGTGGGTCTCTTTCCCCGTCTTCGTCTGAGCGGTAGTTGTGCGGTGATAAGATTCAGTTGATGATTTCCGTGTAAGTCAAGTTGATGGGGAACGAAGAAGGGCGAGATAAACAGATCTTCAGTACTGTACCGAAGCATCTGAATGGTATCGCGAGCCAGTGAACCATGGCACCAACCGGACCTTGTCTTACTACAGGAATTAATTATTTTCCCTTGAAAGTGATCCTTGAAGGGGGCTTGAAGGGGTACACACAGGTCACTTTTTGTGTTTCTCGCCTTGCTCCGCCACCGCACAGCTCGAGATTTTTGTTTGGTGTTTTCAATGGCATCATCAAACAAAGTCGCAATTTTCGCAAAGCTCGCTTGATTTTGACGAGATTAACGAAGACCCAAAATGCTCTGCCTTTCGGTTCGATCTTATTTGCAGCGTTAAAGTGTGAAGTAGCAATTACACAGATACCGACATGATAAAACGTCGAGCGGGTTCGGATTCGTACGTCGTTTGTTTCCCAACCCGCGCCGCTTTGACGCTGCCCTCCCGCGGCATCAATCAACTGCAAGAGACAGACACATGCAGTCCTGCACAGGAAAAAAGCGAAAGGCTTCGAAACGTCAAAAAGCAAAGACGAACCATAAAGCATGCTCCTGGACCTCGGCAGATCTTTTTCTTGATTTTCCAAATGTCGAGGAAAAAAATAAATTGGTCGAGACTCGCGATGATGTCGGCGCCATGCTAGAATAGGCATTCTTACCGCGTTATGCTTTAAGATATCCCACGTAGCCTCTTCAAGTGGATGGTACCGAGGAAGTGCGAGGCTACCAAGAAGAGACGATCGACGGTGCAACCCTCGATCACTATAGTCGCACTATTACCTTTCAGTATATCTCTGACATTGGCGTCCCATCCGCCGAGTGAGAGTTTAGGAGAGTGCACCACCAGAAGTTGGGACGGAGTGCTACTACACGACGTGTCTGCCCTCCTCCTCAGCGGGATGGGCGAGATCAAGGGAAAGAAGAGGAATTTCAACTTTGACTAGCGGAACGAGCCCGACCTCGGATCCGGGTCGCCCACCGCCCGAACGAGAGGCCCTGCCTTGGGTGTCGTAAGATTCTCGGTGGGCGACCGAAAGGTGCCTTGCCATTTCGTCTGTCTCCTACCTTACACACCCCCGGCGCGGGATTGTTTTGACAGCTGCGTTTTAAAAAGTCTTGACTGCCGAAGGGAGTCAGGGAAGACGACAGGCCTCTTTCTCTATGCAGAATCAAGCTGCACCAGGGGAGCGTGCCGAGTCAACCGAACGCGTTGGGGGAGGCTGAAGATAACCCTGTTTGTTCCTGTCGCCTGGTAGGGCATAATAAGGATGTGGAGGTTTCTATGGATAGCAACAGAGTACTCCGTAGCAAGAGTCTTGCCTGATTGCCAGTGCAGCCTGCAGGAAGAAGAAAGAAAACTTCCGTGGCCGGTTACCGAACGGAGATCGTGCAAAGCGTGCAAAGCCCTGGACCCCCCCCCCCCTGTCTACGGTCTCCCTGATTGCCCGCGCTTGACGGCGTGTCGGTGTAAGAGATGGCTGGATTGGGGTCGAGGAGGTGACCAGTCTGGCAGTCCTGCCGAGGGGGGAAAAGTGTACGATCGCCCGGGGTGGTAACGGAGTACAGACGAGTAGTAGGTATGGGTTGCGACGCGGGGATCATGCAAGTTTCCGAAGTTTGCCCAGTTTGTGAGGGTTGTCGGGGGGCAAGTTTGACAGGTGACGCCGTGTACGGGGGTGTTCCGACGTCAGGTCGGGCAGCGGTGGGTGATGCGAAGAGCAGATGAGGATGAGGAGGCTCTTCTTCTCCCCCCAGTTGTGGCCAGGGATTATTAACGTTAGTAACTTGGTCCGGTTTCTGGTGGCTCTTTTGGGGGAATGAGAGACAATACGGATAACCCTGATTACCTTATTGAGAACGGATATGTTCGATAGACTCTTTTGCGTTGCAATGTTCGGATTTGAATGCGACGCCAGTAGTTTAGTTGGGGCTCTCCACTTGGGGCCAAGACACATTTGGGGGCCCTCCAGGCTCCCGATCGAACTGTTCCATTGTCCAGAGATGTGCATTGGACCGAGAGACTGAGAGCCTCAAGACTCAGAGAAAAGGGCTGATGGAATTCTGAAAGAGACATTGGCGGGTCGTGAGGGATGAACCTGGAGAGGGGGTGGTTTGGCGGCCGGAAGGGCGGGAGAAAAGGTGGGACGAAGGAAGGATTGAGGGTTTCATTGGTCTGAAGAAGATCAACTCAAACACTCCACGTCTGAAACGGGCTGGCAGCAACCCTGCCAACATGCAAGCCGTGGGGCTTCAGTCTTTAGATCCCTGGGACTTTGCGGGAGGGGGGAGGGAATAAGAGTGAGACTAAGACGTGACTACCGAAGACCACATTACTCCGTGCCCCTCTTGGGCTCTTGGGGGTTGTTGGTCGTTACTACTGCTACTGCAGTAGTTGTCTTGCGGGACGGGACTTGACACGCTTGCTGTCAGTTAAAAAGCAAGTACTGCGTACGTAGACATATTGAGTCTAGTGCTGCAGAAGACTGTGCATCGGAGCCGCGCTTTGAGCCTCCAACTGGCGTGCAGGGATCAATATCAATACCATTGTGAGACGGTTGCGACCCCTGGAGATCCCTGGTACATTCATCTTCCTCTATTGAGACATTGACACACGCTCATACGCACAGAGGAAGAGAGGAAGAGAGAGTGTGAGTTGCTCCCTCTCTCACTGTCCCGACTCTGCGTCACGTCAGCCAAAACTCTCACAGTAAGGTTTCTCGGATGATGGGGGGGGAGGGGTGTTCAAACCGTAAGAGGATTTGATGTGAACGACGGTCGACGGACCGAGGGAGAGACGAGGGATGTGGTACCTACACAATGTGCATACATGGCACCATGTCATGTACTCTCTGTCAATATACGCCGAAGAGTGTAAGAGGGAGGGGCTACGTGGCCACCGGCACATCTTTGTTTAAAGATTCCTGTCCCCCCAGCCCTCTTTTTCTGGGATGGCAAGTGCCTTGGTCTCTTTTTTATTTATTTTGGGACTGACATTGTATGATGTTTATTGAGTGTTTAATTTGTCTTGTTTGAACTGGCCTTGACGTTGACAGCTTCCGAGGCTTGGCACAAAAAAACCAAGAAGACGAACAAGAGGAATAGAGAGAGGGCGATTGTTGAGCCGCTGGATCGACTAACATCGGAAAATACCACCCACCTCACGCCGTCACCTGACACTACCTGGTCGTCATTGGGACATTGAACCTGCTTTCGAGATCAGGATTTCATCATACCTCACCACACTCGAGTTAGTTACGAGGTTATTCGGAGGATTTCCCCCATCACCAAAGGGCCCCGGACACATACTGAACATAATCTACTACGACGCAACGAACATATTCCAACGGCCTTTACATACCCAAACATATACCACAAAGCACGAACAGCGATAATCATTTACTTTTACGACTCCACCATCTCAATTCTTCATCATGGCCGACAACCAACCCGACGCCAAAACTCCTCCCACAAGCCTAGGAGGGCAAACGGGAGTGGGAACAGGAACACCAAACACCCTGAGCGAAGCAACGAGGGCACAAACAACACCAACACCCTCAATAAAAGCGACGCCATCATCATCATTGCCTGCAAGAGCCTCATCCTCCTCATCGGCACCAATAAGGCAGAACACACCAACGCTCTCGCAAACGCCTTCACAAACACCAACACCATCAGCTCCACCACCGCCGCCGCCTCCACCACCACCACCATCAAGTTCCGCGCGCCCTCTCACAACCTTCATCATCTCAACCACCACAAACGCAACATCAACACCCACACCATCCCTCTCCGACCCGCCGCCACTCCCCTCACCAACATCCATCCCGGGCGTGATACCCATCTCAACACCAGGCGCCGGTGATCAAATTCCCACGCCCACACCGTCCTTCATCCCCCCGCCTCCAGCCTCCGTGATACCAGAGACCACACCCCTCCTCAGCCTCATTCCGACCCCGACGCCGACTCCCACTCCAAGCGGCAACGTCAACAGCGGCAGCGGCGGCATCGCCTCGCCCAGCCAAGCCGAGACCTCGGGCGGCAGCAACGTGAAGCTGATGCCGGCGCTGCCCATCGCGCTAGGTTCCGTGGGCGGGGTCCTGATTTTCGGGTTGGTGATTGGGATGCTGTACCGTAAAGGCCGGTGGCCGTTCCGGAGTAAGCGCAACTTTGCGCAGATTGACGAGTTGGAGGTGGAGAGGCAGCAGGAGCTCGAGAGGCAGAATAAGATGAAGTGGGATCCGAGAGTGACGAGGACGTATCGGACGCAGGATGCGGGTGTCAACTTTTGATGATCGAGATAGCATAGCAGTACATTACAGCTATAGACGAGTCAAACGTCTTTCATTCACATCACTGATTTGTTTTTACTATTTGCTGTGATTTCCGTGCTTAAAGAGTTGGGTCGAGTGCAATATGTTTTCTCGATTTATCACCACAACTACATAGAAGTGTGGTGCTGTATTGAACAATCTCACAGAAGTTTACGTTATTCTCATCGCTATAACTTCATCTTGAGCAATCGACTGAATGCCCTCACAAATCATCTCAGTACGAAACTACTGAATGAGCAGAGTACCGAAAAAGCACTCGCCGACTCGGCGCCGCTCTACATAGAGCACGAACCAGGTACAACACGAACACACACTGCTGCGAAAACCGCGGAAAGGGCTGTCCACGAATCATCCCAACCTTTCTCAAACCGCTCGCAACGCGGCCGTTCCTCCCAGTCTGTGTTCTGTCCCTTCCTCTCGGTAACTCAGTAGCAGAGTGGGTGGTGTTGGCTCTTGCGTGAGTTCAACGCACCCTCCCAAGGAAAAGGATCTCTTTCCCCTTCATGTAGTAAACTTTTCCTCCCAACCCACCTTCAGGCCACCTAAAGGGCCGGCCTTTGTGAAGTTCGGATTTCAGCGGTGATTTGCGTTTTTTTTTGGGGAGGGCCGCTTGTTGGTCTTGGTGGTCGAGGTGTACGGGATAGTTATGACTAGATGGACTGGACTGGACTTCATTCGGGGCCGTGTGTGGGTGGGTGTAGGACCGCGTCACGGCTGCGGAAGCGGAGGGCGGACGGGCTGAGATGGTGCTCGGATGGAATTGGTGAGTTGCGAACATCCGGAGAAGGAGGGTTATGGAGTTTGTGTGAATTTCCACACCGACTGGATAGAATCATCTTATCAAGCTGACAAATTTGTACGAGACAGGCCACAGTAAATATGAGAAGTGAGTACGATGAAGACTGGCAAACCAGTTTTATGTAGATTTCGGACGGCTGGTGAACAAAGTTACGAAAGCGATGAACCTGGTACGGTGGAACTCGCAACCCGTCAGTTGGTAGTCAGGTAGTAAGCCGGCACTCATCAACCCAGCAATCCAAATTCAGCGCACGCAAGGATACACCTAGAAGAGCCTCACACTCTCTTTCCCGTTCATCAGCCTCTCGCACCTTCAAGGTTCGACTAGATGTCGGGTTCTTCCCTAGCCGAAGGGGAGGGCGGGCGGCGGGTAAAGTCTGTTCATGACAGGTGAGCCGAGCGAGGCTTCCCGCGTGTTGGAGGTGTAGCGAGCGTTTATTTGGTGGGGTTTCCGTTGGGGGCCTATGAATAGAGCGCGTGTGATGTAGAGGGAGGATGCTTGTCTGTGGAGGCTTTCATGTCAGGAGAGGCAGTATGGTGCAAGTAACAACCGTCGCCTGCCTGGAAGATGCCGCCTGTGATGCTTCTTGATGGTGTCCGGTTGTACTAGCATTAGTGTGTAATCACAAACGGAAGGGAATCGAGTGTTCCTCCATCCAACTCAGCCATAGGCCATGTTGAAGTCTTTACTCTACATGAATCCAAATCCTTTGGATCCTTTCCGAAACCCCATTTCCAACCTTTGCCACGGTCTTGCGTGGTACAGTACACGAACATGGGCGGAATATGTCCATCACATAACCGGACTCTATCGGCACACGAACCAGACTGACAGCAGTAGGCTCAGTGCCTCGAAACCCTCATAGGTCTCAACGCCGTCCGTATCTCTGTCTTGGGGTCAAAAGTCGCTCACAAAGGCGGTGGTTTCTTAGCGGGGTAGGTTCGGGATCGGGAAAAGGTTTTGCCATGTGCCGCTGGCCAGGCTGCGTGAATGCGCGCACATAAGGGAAGTTATGTATATTACTTAGATCAAATGTTGCGGCAAGATCTCCCATCTGTTTTTGTGAATACGCTGTCTAGCCAAGAAGAGATCCATATGGCACTAGCTACGATGAGTTCAATCGCACATCAGTCCCTACAATGATCGGAGAAATAATTGCAATCGTGTTATATTACGAAAGTTTTCGGGAGATACTCGAAACAGTCAGCGTATACATGGCTATCTCTACGCGTCGACAACCTCAAACTTGACAAGGATGGAACATTTGGTTTCTCTTCCCTTGAGGTCAAGCATGCGGATAAAGACCCAACCCGGTATCGTGTAGAGCAGCCGTACCGCGCCAACGGCAAAGATTGGGTTTTTGGCGAAGCTGTCATCACTCTTGATGAGCATCCGCAAGAAGACCATTTCGTTGTCTTGGTATTCCCACTCTAGCACCTCGTCCCATAGCGGGTCGGTGGGTGGTGGATTCTCTCCCTTGTGCAAGAATCCCGTCAGCTTGTGCTGTTTGTAGCCAGCCGTTTTCCTCTTTGGAGGCTTGATATCGAGATCATGAGGATGTACAAGCGTGCACGTGAGGTAGGGCTTGATTGTCTCGTCTTCGTCGCGATCGGACGGCACGGGAATGTCGGTGGCACCGCCGACGTGCAGGCGGAGTTTTCGCTTCCTTCCGTTGCCGAGGTGGCCCGAGCCACCGGGCCGGAGCTCGGCGGGCTTCAAAACGAAACCCTCGGAACCGGCGAATAACGCCTCATTGAGCTGCATTGATGCTCCAAATGTCTGCCAGTTGAGGGCACAGATCTGGGCGCCAATTCCCCAAAAGGGAACGGGATGGAGATTCTTGGAAGAGATGCGAGTTCCCTTGGGGAAAACACGCATCAGATGGTGAGCGTTGTGGCGAGAGATTTTGTCAGTGTGCGTCGGCAGATGGGAGGCCAGCCCAGACTCGGAGACGTTGATGAGGTGGTGGTGCGGCGCATCTTGCAGAACCTCCTCAAACCATGAATTGTTGATGGGCTTGACGGACTGGGCATAGACGCCGAGTGCCTCTAGTTCTGGGACAATCAGCGAAGCAGGCGCAGCCTTCTTTTTCTCCTTGTAGTCTTTCTTGGCCTTCTTTTCCTCCTCGTCATCATCATCACTCGAGCTCGAGCTACTGTCGTCGGCCTCTCCAGGGAAGTGATATTCGACAATGACAACAATCTTGTTGCCGAGTTCCTCCAGACGAACATGGTTGGCCTGGCCTTCTTGCTCGGCGTGGCCTTTTTCTCTGATGGCTTGGCTAAGAAGGCGATCTCCAAAGACCTCTCTCATGATGAAGGCCAGGCGCAGCTGGCCCTCAGGGTCACAGTGATTCTCGAGAGACAGAAGGATTGGCGCAGCGGGATGAGGTTCCTTGGCTTCTTGGTCGACGACATCTCGGATGGTCTCGCAGACGGTGCGGAAAGGGATGTTGGAGACGAGGGTGTATCCGTGGGTGACCTTGGGCTCGTCCTTGTTGTCGGGGTTATCCCAGGCATCGATCTCGACGCATCGGGCGCCAGCACGCAACGTCTCGTCATAGGCCTCTGCCGAAGAGCTTCCATAAAGCTGGTGGGCCAGAAGGTAGGTGTTGTGGCTGGAGCTGATGAAGTACTCGGGCAATGGGTGGGATCTATCAGTAAGCTCGCGGGGCACGCTGATGTGAGGCTTGTACACGAGGGCTTGCAACTCGGGGGTGAGCTGTTCTGAGTCGACGTTTGCTTCCTTGGAGGAGATGGCCTTCTGATCGACAAGGAAAGACTTGATGGCGCGGCTCACGCGGAGACGGTGCTTAAGGTCTGAGTCGCGTGCAGCGTGGCCTCCGCCAGCCAAGGTGGTGTTGTCGGTCGCATCGCCAAGCTCCTCTTCATCCTCTGGCGCCGATTTGGAGAAGGGATTGAGGCTGGCAAACTTTGAAGTTAGTGAGGCCATTGCTGGTGACGGATCCGCGGCGGTTGTCTCTGTGGATTGCCTCTTCCGGAAGTGAGGACGATGGTTCTGACCCCAGATGTCCACTAGGTACGCGGGGTATGTGTAGATGTTAAAGAGAGAGAGAGAGATTGAGATGGTCGCAAACAGGAATTCCGGCAAGACGATGGCGGGAAACGACGACGTCAATCTTGGCTGATGCACGCCGCGTAAGGTAGCAGCAGCGCAACAGCAGGTGGCAGGAACAAGCTGTGGACTGAAGTTGCCCCTCCTTCCCGTCAGCTCAGCTCCTGCTGCCACACCTGCCGCACCTTCTCCGATGGAGGGGTTGCTGAGTGGGGAGGCTAAGATTAGATTGGCGGAGAGCTCAAGCAGCTTTGACGAATTGAATTCCAGTCTCTCTCCCTTATTTGGCTAGAGGCTTGCTTACCTAAGTCCCGGTATCCAGTCTCTCCAGGTCCCTCGCGGTTCCCAGTGTTCCCTTAGCTTGGAGCCCACCGTACTGGTATGGGCCAAGTTCATCTCAACACACGAACACCACCATCAGATGGCGCTTGATCATCGGCCTCGATTGGCTTCTAGCACCTGGACTGCCCACTATCATGCCCGGTATCTTCATGCCTGCCTGGCAATCGACTGCCAAAACGGTGCCCGACGTTTTTTTCCGATGGCACTCTGGGACCGACAATGCTCTCCATGGCTTCAAGTTGGAGAATCCGAGCTCAATCATTCCATCATTTCTTTAACAATGTCGGACGACGCTTCGAGCAGTAAATACAACCAATCAGACCTGAAGGACACTTTCAATTCGGGGGTATTCGAGGAGAAACCAAGATTACGACGATACCACCCGAGCTCCCTGACGGCAGCGTCGTCAGCGTTCCAATCCAAGCCGGTTCTCTCACCAGAATCATTCTCCACCTCGGCGACTCTTTACCGGCTGGGCATCTTGGGAGCCGGGCGGCATCTGGAAACATTCATTCAGCCTTGTGGGTCCGCCCATGCTGCAAGTTGGAGCTCCTCCGCGGCTGTCGTTTCCGCCCCCAAACCCCTTGCTACCTATGCCCCTAGGCCTCGTGGCATAGGTATCCTTCTGCCTCCAACCTCGATTGAACGCCAAGGAGCTCGTCAACTAGGTACTGGCCTCAGCTGGGTGGCCATACGGTGTACGGAACATCTCTGAAAATGTTAGGCAGAGTTCTGCGCGTCCCTCCTCCAATACAACCCCACGCTTGTTCCGGAGACTAGCTAGCTAGCTGCTTGTTAGTCACCACAGCACATGGATTCGTCTCGCCAAAGTTAGTATCGACCAGCAAGAATTACTCGGCTGCGGTGCCCCTCTGTCTCATATCATAATTCTCGGCTCTCCGGTGTTAACTTTGCACATCTAGGCCTCACCATGTTTGACTCACTCGAACTCGCATTGACAAGCTCTCCGCCTCGGTGGGTTGTGTCCTCTAAGGACCGTCGCTTCAGGCAGCAGACAGGTACAACTCATCAGCATCGGGCCTGATACCTACCTCAGGTAGCAACATATCGGCCGACGGAAAGGCCTTCAGGCGGGCGAGACCGTTTGGAGATGTCTCAGTCTTATTCCTCTCTGCGGCCGCAAACGATAGAATGAGCCTGGGGATTGAACGCATTCCTCACCACCATTGGCAGGCGAACCAAATGCAGCTCGGAGGGTTATTGACCTGGCGAAGTGCGTGCGAAAAAAAAACCACCATCGAGAAGGCTAACGCAAACGCACGGAGCACTACTGCAAGGGTAGCAGGCATCTCGATGGGGCCATGGAGGAGTCTGGACAGCTAGACTACTTCCCGAAAGCTGCCTCCCTGCCGCTGGCGTCATCATCAGCTTACCCTACACTCCCTCAAAGACTGATTGATGCGCGCGAGGAGTCTGCCTGACTGCCTGTATGCCTCCCTCGTCACCAGGAAGAGAGCGAGGAGGTTGGAGTCGGATCCATCGTCCGACACACCGCCAAAAGGCTGTACGTGGACAGCGCGGCACCGACAGAAAAAAAAAATCAGTTCTGTCGTGTCATTTGATGGACGAGTGCATGGGATAGAGTCAAGACAACACACCTCGCCTTCGATACTCGGGTCAGAAATAGCTGGAAGAACGTTGGATCGGCATTGGAGGGTTGCGGGATGGGCGGCCTGCGCCTCCGTGAATGCGGTCGCTGGTCGCACGGCATGCGGGGTCCTACGGTCTCTCGCAGATTCGCACACACACACTTCCTCTGTTTCTTCTCTGGATGGCACACTGACACACTGGTGTTGGGCCTCCAGCATTTGTGTGTCCATCTGGTGCTACCCGGCGGCATCCAGTCATCCAGGGTCCCAAGACCAGATTCACCCAGTCTGTAGAGATGACTGGTCCCTCGTACGAAAGTGCCTCCAGCCTATGGCGTGCTGGAGCTTGAGGGAATAAGCTTCTCGGAGGGTTGGGCCATGACGTCGAAAGACTGCGGCAAAGTCCTTTGGGGAAGATTTGGGACGACTGGATGCCGTCTGGCGTCGGTGCTTGTGGGCGCTTGCTCGCTGCCAACGCTGCTGGTGCCGCAAATGGGCATGTTCGATTTTGGCCGCATCAAGCAGCTTCCCACCCCAGCGCAGCGATCGGCACCTTTGGGTCCCTTGGGGTCCCCTTGGAGGGGCGCCACACCCTCCCTCTTCCCATTTTTCTTCTTCCTAACTCTCGCCCTCTTTCTTTCGTCTACTACTTATTCACATGTGAAGCCAAACGCCTTCTCATCAATGTTCATACACTGATTGCTAAACAAATTCCACTCCAACGGTCGGAAGCGATCTGGTGTTGTTGCGCGCTTGTTGGTCGTCAAAAGCTCATCATGGGGGTCAATCCGGGCGTCGTGTTTCTACTGGTAAGCCCCGACAGCCGGCACCCACTAACACCATTTGAAATGATGAACGATATCAAGGAATATCTTATTTAACCAAAATACTTCTACAGATCTGCATCGGACTGCTGACGACGGCCATGTGAGTCCTCAAACATCACCGACCGCAAATCTCTCTGCTAATCATCTCACAGCGTCGTTCACGTAACGAGCACCAATCTCGCCCTTCCCATTTCGCCATTCTTGTCTCTGCTTCCGATTCTGCTACCTATCCTTGGCACTATCAACGCATTTTACTACCCGCGCCTGCTATTCAATGCGAGCAACTCTCTCGCTCGGACCGAGCAGCTGTTTCCTACCATCATCCAGACACTTCAAGGCATCTTGACCACCGCTGTCGCCGTTATCTTGTTGCAAACCGCTCTTCCCGGCGATGGTCTAAACTGCGCCCTGTCCACTAGCTGGCAGCGCATGTTTGTCGCCAAGGATGAGTCGACCATCAGGCGCATCCAGGACAGCCTTAATTGCTGTGGTCTGAACAGCGTCAAGGATCGCGGTTGGCCATTCGGTGCTAATGCCCAGTGTGCCGAGATCACTGGTCGCGATACCGCCTGCATCGGACCGTGGAGGGACGCAACGGTGCGGAATTCCTCCATCGACTTGGGCATCGTCATCACCGTTGGTGTGCTACAGGTGCGTCGGATATAGATATATAGCATGCCACTGCCGTTCGGGGCTAACTAGGCATTCGTCACAGGTTCTGACGCTGCTCTTTATGCAGAGTGCCAGCAACTGGAGACACGCATGGTGGGCGCAACCCTGGAGCCACCTCTCAGAGCGTCCGATCGAAGAGCGCCAGCGCAGACCTCTTCTCACTGCTACCATCTCCACACACTCAGCGCATGACAGTGGTGAGGAATCTGAAGACATTGTGAGATACAGCGACCTGAACCCGCATTATGGCACCACGGGAGAGGGACAACGAGGCCGTATTCGCACTGGATCCAGCAGGATTGAGCCCTCTTCGCTCAGAAATGTCGAAAATGCCGAAAACGCACGGAGAGACGAGTAATTTTCATGCGTCACACCCTCATCGATCCAAAAGTCTCTGCACCTTACCAACGACGACACGACTCTCTTTCAAAAATCATTCTACCTTCTTTTGCATTGCGAGCGAGAATGGTTTGCTACCTGGGATTTGGAAGCCGGGGGACAGTTCGGCGGAGTTCGGGTTTGGCCGGTTCGTGCTTTAGTGGCCATAGTCCTTTTTTGCTAGGAGGGTTCCCTTGTCTGCTTTTTCTTCTTTGGGGTTGGCTTAAATAACTATTGGAGTTGGTTCGAAATTTCGTTCATTGACGCCGCTTGTTTTGACATGCCTGCGAGTAAAAGAGCTAGATCACGGCCTGCCATTGCGAACCTGAGGTCGATAATGTAAGCGGATTACCGGGTCGAAACGACGGGACACCGATGCGAAGGAAACTCTTACCGAATAGGAGCATGCCGTTTCGCCAGTGCCTCCAAGAGGTCTGGTCTCGGTTCCAGCCCGCCGAGTCCCACGAACACCTTGCGTCCATCTACGCTCGCCTTCTCTGCTGCGTTAGCGATTCTGGCGACGGTGGAATGGAAGAGTTCTGAGTCGTATTGTCCTGGGATTCCGAGCCTGCAAACCACACGTCAGCTTCAGTCTCGAAATGTCATAGATCGGTCATCTTCTACGGCGGAATGAGGGCTGACTTACTCCATGCAGAGATCTGCGCAGCCGATGAACAAGGCATCGATGCCCGGCACGGCGGCGATGGCTCTGTGATCTCGTTAACGCCAACAACTTCCACATGGGAATCTTCCCCCGTTGCGTGAGACTGCGGGCACTGACTCTACGTTTTCGACACCTTCTTTGGTCTCGATCATGGGAATGATGAGGACCTCGTTGTTGACTACCTCGGCGATGGCCGCGTAGGATAGCGTCGTCGTGTACTGGGTCATTGCTGTGACCATGGTGACGGAGCGGTGGCCCTACAAATTTGCCTCTTACGTGTAAGCTCACTGTTTTTTATCGTGGAAGTCATCCTTTGTAGGCAGACGTCTGGGAAAGGGCAACGTACCAAGGGTGGAAACTTTGATGCGCTGACGCACATTTCCGCTTGCTCGACGGTGTTTACGTGCGGTACGATGATGGATTGGGCCCCAGAGTCGAGGCAGCGGGAGATCCATTCCGGGGCGCACGTTGGTACGACTACGGTCGGTGTGATGCTTTTGTTTGCCATGGTTAGTAACGTACGTCATGGTCGGTTCCTCTGACTGGCCTTTACCCGACATTCAGACAGGAGACGGCGATATCTTTCATGGTCTCCATGCTCATGGCCATGTGCTCGAGGTTCATGAGCACGGCCGAGTAGCCCGCGCGCTTGGCGACGAGGGGCATCTCGGTGGAGAAGGCGACGCGGAGGCCGAAGGAGTGGGCGAGTCTGTTCTGGAGCATGAGGTTCTTGACGAGGTTTGGGCGGCAGGCTTCGCGGGCGAGGGCGAGTTGCTGCTCGTGGGTTGCTGGTGAGGACATGTTGAACCTTGAAGGGTTCGATTGTGTGGACGTTGATCAAGGGAGGACTCTGATGTCTCGGGAATGTCAAGATACTGGGGAAATTGGATCTCGGGAGGATGATGGTGCTTGAAGCTTTGTTTGATAGTGTTATGGGTAGGTTTACTTGCCCAAAGAATGGTATCGAGAACGTCAGCAGCTTGCGTCCGGATGCTGTGAGTTGTAATGGTTTTTGACAAGCTTGAGACGGTCCTGACTTACACCACCCCGCCTATCCCATCATCCCGAACGTCGGCTCCTAGCGCCCGATTTACCGGAGGGAGCGGCGGTCCTTATCCGTGGTGGACTTTGATAAGAATGCGGGGGAGAAAAGAGATCGGGCATTGTCCGACGACGTTGCACTCCATCATCCTTGAGCATGCTTGCAGCTTATCTTCGGGACAGGGGCGGGGAGGATGCCGATGGCCCACTAACACGCAATATGCTGATGATAGTGTATGTTGCTATCAACATCTCCGCGTATTGCTGGTTACGGTGGTAAGCAAGTGTATTGTTCTGGGATACTGACGGCCGATCTAGTATCGGTTTTGGGGGGTTTGCAAAGGGGGGTAGGCTGTCCCTGGCTATCTTGATCCGTGGTTCTGAGTTGAGGTGGTATCAAGAGTTGAGGGGGCACTTAAGCTTCACATTGTATCTCTGTTTGACTTGCGACTCGACAGCTCTCCTGATTTCCTGTCCCTTCCCAGAACTCGTAGGTCCGAACAGTGGTCTAGTCTTTCGTTCGTAGAACACCTTACTTCGCTGCCATGGATGGCGAGAAGAAGGCCCATGAGGTCAAATCGGCCACGTCGACAGCATCAGACGTCGGTGTCGGCGTCCACGAGGATGCGCCTCAGAATGTCTCTTGGGGAAAGAAGGTTCTCTATCACCTTTGGGACGCTGATCAGCATCTCAAGAGCCCCCAGGTATGGCTACCAATCAACCCGTATCCCTAGGGCCTTGATGGCGGGAACTGACTGGGGCGTGATAGGAACGCGCTTTGGTTCGGAAGCTAGATTTCGGTATCTTGATTTGCGCCACTCTTGGCTGGGTAAGTTCAGCACTGGGTCGTGGTCGAGTTGTCAGCGGCTGATTTCATCAAATTGATTAAGTGGATGAAATACATTGACCAGAGCAACATTACGAACGCATGTAAGTTGATCAACTCTGCGATGAGGGGAAAATGGAACTCACTGTAATCTCACAGATGTCAGCGGGATGAAAGAAGACCTGAATATCCAGGGCAACGAGTACACTTATATGCTCAGTTAGTTGATTCCTGGACCGATGAGCGGCAAGTGCTTGGTGGATGCGGACTGACAGAACAATAGTGTGCTACACCATTGCCTTTGCTATCATGCAAATCCCTTCCAACTTGATTGCCCTCAAGATTCGTCCTCGCTACTGCATCGTGTTCTGCGAACTGGGATGGACGGCTTTTACGTATGTCGCAATCTAGGATAGCATGGATCGAGAACATTGCTCATTATATAAAGCTTCGCCCAAGCCGTGGCCCAGAGCAGCAATCACATGTACGCCTTCCGCTTCATGATTGGCCTCTTCGAATCCGGCTTCTCGCCCATCATCATTTTCCTCCTTGGATCTTGGTACACCAAGCCCGAGCTCGCGAAGCGCGTGGCCATCTGGCACATCACGGGATTCTTTGGACAGGCGACGTCTGGATTCTTGCAGGCCGGGATTCACAAGTCTTTGGACGGGCATCTGGGGATGGCGGGTTGGAGATGGATGTATATCGGTAAGTGCCTCTCAAATTCTGGGCCGTGAGACTTGGTTGGCTCTTGGCAATCGGAAGGGAAAGTAGCTGATCCAGTGAGTACGCAGTTTGCGGCTGTATGTCACTCCCTGTTGCTCTCTCCGTGTGGTGGTTACTTCCTGATTACCCGCATAACACGACTGCATGGTATATCACGGAGGAGGACAAGCAGATTGCGATGCAGCGCGCGGCGAAGCAGGGTAAGGCGGAGATCACAGGAGTCGTGGACCTGAAGCTACTCAAGCGCATGTTTGGGAACTGGCGATGGTGGATTTTGTGCTTGATGTACATCTTTGTAAGTTATCCCAACGCACCTGTAATCTTCATGTGTTGTAGTCTTTCACCATTCTGACAAATTCCCCGCCAAACAGTACGGCAACTCGTGCCAGGCCAATAATTACTTCGCCATCTATCTTCGTACGACGATCCCTCACGGATTCTACAGTCTGTTCAACGTCAACTGACGCGATGTAGGCGAGAACGGGTACAGCGTCACCCAACGCAACGTCATCCCGGCGTGCGCCAACCTCGTCACCATGGTCACGGATTTTGCGTGGGGCTTCATGTCAGACCTGACTGGCAACAGGCCCTTATGGATTATTGGTCCTCTTGTAAGTAACGCCCCTGTTCTAGAAGTCTTTGGCGAAGTTTGCTGACGGGCGGCGGGCAATCTCAGATGGGCACGACTGTCGTCGGCTCTTCCATCCTTACTGCGTACCCGCCGACGGATGCTGCGCGAGTGGCCGGTTTCTTCCTCGTGTCTTGCGGTTATGTTACGGCTGTTACTTGGGTAAGTCAGCGTTGTGACACATTGGGTAGGGAAGTTAGTCGTGAGGCTAATCGGAATACAGACGTGGGCGAATGAAGTGAACAATGGGAACGCGGAAGAGCGTGCTTTGACGATTTCTAGCATGAATGGATTGTTCTATGCAACCAGTGAGCCAATTCCTGAGGACACAAATCTGATCTTTTCAATCGACTAACGATGCAGACTCTTTCCTGCCTATCCTCATCTTCCCGCAGACCATGGCACCCACTTTCGAGCGAGGCTTCCCCTCTGTCCTATCATTCGCGCTTGCGGCCGTGGTCTTAGTCCGTAAGTTCCCCCATTTTCACGATCTACAAGCGAGATATTCAGGATAAACTGACAGGGAAATCTTGCAGTCATTGCGGACTTATTGCATAAGCGTCAGCTGCGACAAGAAGCGCAGGTTGCTGGCGAACAACCTGCTTCTGAGACGGTCGTGGACGGAGAAGTCGATAAGAAGGAAAAAGAGATGGAGGGTAGACTTTCTGGAGCTATTGATCCAGCCAGGAACTCTTCTAGTATCTTTTGAGCAGCAAATATCGGAGGAGAAAACCCAGGGTTGGGCGGGTCCAATTTACAGCCAGCATTGATATGCTACCAACCTGGAAAGTCTAGGGGATCATTGGAACATTCGAAGATAGGCGAAAGTAGAGCTGTATCTGCAATTATATCGAGTTGATACCGCTTATTCCATATGTTGCCTGAACGCTCCGTGATCAAGTATATGCTCTTCGAGCATGCTGGTCAGCCACATGAAGTTTGATACTCAACCGGTTACTAAGGGAAACATGCTGGCAGCGTATCATATACTCGGTAGCGTATGCTTTGCATCTTTGAGGATAATTCATCGGAGTGCCTCTGGCGTCGTCAGAGACGTGATATATGCCAGTTCTCGACCGCAGTTGCCGCCTATACTTGAAGGGATCTGAGCTTGTGGTAACTTGATTGAAGCGCTTTCAACAAGCGAGTGCTAAAGTACAAAGTCCATATTTTCCGCGACTACCTGATTCCGATGGAGACCTGCTCACTCATATCCTCGCCAGCTTCCAACCTAGATCGATATCTAGAATGGTAGCAGCTAGTCTTTCAATACCTTCCTTGAGCTCAGCTATCTCATGCCACGCCCAGCATAGTCTGATGCACCTGGAGAAGCCATTCTTCGACTCCGCTCTATGAACGCTGCCTTTGTCTCCACTGACAACAAACATGTGTCCGAAGGCGAAGCGGAGGAGCTTCTCTTTCAAGGCTATGGCTGCCACTATTCGTGCCACTGGAAGGTCTTCTGGAAGCCGGAGGTATGCGAAGAAGCCTCCTGTCGTCGCTTGTGCGGCATCTTCTGGGTGATTGACTTCAACTGTGACACCCAGTGGCACCAAAATATCGCGGATAGAGGCCATGAGGGCGTGGTATCTCTCACGATATGTTGGTATGAGAGTCTTCTTGATATGTGTTTGCAGACTGCCACTTCGCAGCATCTTATCGACGAAAGTAGAAGTGAGGTGCGAGGGTGCACCGCCGGAGCTAGAAGATCCTCTGCTCTGGAGTTAGTACCGTCGTACGGGCTTCTTTGACTTGTTGCATGGAGAAGCTCAGAGCAGAGACTTACACCTCGGCCAATTCTCTGGCGAAGGCCGGCGTGCCGTCCGCCCAGCCAACTCTGACACCAGGTCCGATCACCTTGGAGAAAGATCCGTTGCTGAGGGTGTTTCCCCATGTGCTGTAGCCGGGCATGTCGTGATCTATGTCGACGAGCCTCGGCGGCACAGCTCCGAATGTGTCATCTGGAGCAGACAAGTCCTCAGGCCAGCTCAGGAAATCGTAGACATCGTCCGATACGACGAGGGCATCGTATTTCCGGGCGAGCGCGACAAGATCCTTGCGGGTCTGGAGGTAAAGCGTCTTTCCGCTGGGATTCGAAAATGTTGGAACGATGTAAATGACATATTTGTAGATTTTTGGGTAAGTCTTTCCACTTTGATGGTGGGAATGTCGGGCCGGCCGAGATTCTGAGCATCCTCAATGGCTTGAGCTTCGGCAGCGGCCAGCTCGCGGCGTAAAAAGGCAATATCTAGTCCATCGGTATCATTCTCAGGCACACCCGCGAGCTTTCCCTGAAACCCGTTGTCTTCAAAGATCGGGCAGGCCAAGAAGTACGTAGGCTCAACCATGAATATTTTGCGCGTATATAGGGGGTCTGTAAACTTCAACAATACGTTGGCCAGATTGCCGGATGCGCCGTTATTGATGGAGATTCTCTCGTGGTCTATCTCGGTACCGTAGACGGAGGACAGCCATTCTGCGATGCTCTTTCGGAGTGGAGGATGACCAATGTGAGGGCCGTATATGAGCGCTGCCGCGGTTTCGGATTCCGAGGTCAGAACCTGGGTTGCGCCCTCTAAGAGAGCGCTGGCTGCGAAGAGGCGAGGGGACGGCCAACCCAGCTGCAGGTTGATGAGCGAGAGGGACTGAGAAGATATCGCGGTTGTGTCGCTACCCATGATAAAGTTAGCCACTGTCAGCTGTAATTGACTTGAACTTTGCGCATATGATTCAGAATTCTCACCTGATCTTCTCACATTACCACTTCAAGATATGGCCTGAGAGTATGCCCCTCCTCCGCCTCCCATGCAGGGAGTGATCTTATCGGACGGACCCCGACATTTGCCGGGGCCATCTCCGCTTCATCGGGCGCTAGACGAGAGACTCCGACAGGACCCCGACGTCGCCGATGGGTGGCCTCATCTCTATCAGTCATCCGATCAACGGCATGTTGCAGGCCTATCTATGCATCGTCTTGATAGGAAAAAAAGGAGAAATCGGATTTCTTTAGCCGCGGTATCTCGAGACCGGGCTGATGTAACCGAGATAATGGTGATTGGATCCTGCAGGGTGACAGAGGAGGCAAAAGGAACCATGTTCCAGTCATGACAATGGAGATGGCAGCAAGCAAATCTCCCAATGTACTGTCACAAAAGAATTATAGAAATCTGTTTCTCAAAATACTGAACAACACGTCCCCAAAGTGGAGCGACAACAAGTCTGAAAGCGAGGCCTTCGCGGCTGAGCTCTGTGAGATTGAATCATGGTGGCAACTAAACAGATAGAAGCACATCCAGAGGTACATCACCTTGATTTAGAATTGGTAGAAAAAGCTAAGAGGTCTAGGCCGTATACAACGAAGTCAATAGCCGTCCTGCGAAACATCTGATTCAAGATTGAGTACCGATCGAGCGTTCAGGGTAGGAAGCTTTGGCGCATCCTCAACGAGCACAATGAGAACGGCACCCACGAACTGACATTCGGCACTGCCAAGACCATAACTGCGAAGGAGATGGAAAGCTCAAGTAAGAAACTGCGAATCGGTGGCTGTCAACTTTGCTGACTCGTTCGCAGACATCTTATGTATACGGGGCTCTCTGTGGACTAGCGCAGGCAACATGGCCAGGCGAAGACCATGTAGACTATCCCGAAGACTTGGTTCTATCCGTCGCAAAGCGAATCTTCGATTCGTAACTCTGTTACGACCAGCGACAAACTCAGCTGCGGATGAGATACTCCGAAACCGACCGTGAGTCGTTAGAATGCATCGACTACATGCGAAGTATCGTCGCCGACGCTGATATGGTATTCGGGACACTGCCTGGCTGCATGAGGTTGACTCGCAGCTTTGTTGAAGCTGGGGTTGCCATAATGCACATCCATGATCTTGCAAGGGGTCTGAAGAAGTTCACGAGCGGCGAGGGTCGTACTATTCTCCCATGTCGGACTACTTGTCGAGATTGACGACTGATTTCGATATCACGGGATCAGTTCATGCTTGCACGTTCAAAGACAATAGAGAAGACGGACTCATAATTGGCTAACAGGGCGGATACGATGCTCCTATGCCGATGTGATAGCGACCATGCTGAGTTCACCACGAGGTGGGATGATTTTCGGACACTGGCTTAGTCTTCTCTAGTGTGATTGACCCCAGAAAAGAAAACTTATATTCTGAGAGCGACCGACGTAGTCTCTTCCTTCATCCAAGCCCTGGAAGTTGTAAAGCTTGAGGGAAAGGATTACCTGGCAATCAAGTAGGAGTGGAAAGCCTCGGCTGAATTGATGACTTCTGACGAGGCCATCAAGTCCATAGTGACCGAGGAGTAGTACAATGCCTGAATGAGAGAGAGTAGAGACACGGCCATAGCGTTGCAAGACTGGCGAGCAACCGCCAAGCGCATTCTCGGGAAGGACATCACGTTCGACTGGGAACTTCAAAGGACACCTCTTGGCCAGTACATGTGGCAGTGGAGTAAGAAGGCTGTCATTGACCGATGTTTTCTCGCAGCTCCCTTGGGAGACGTTACATGGAACCGTCAAGGTATGTCCCTCCGGCCCTTCAGCATCCAATCGCTTGACTAACCTGATATAGATAAACCAAGTATTATGTCTCACAGCCAAGGTTGAATATGCCTCTTGAAGCCTGCGTGTGCTGGCAAACAACGTCACAGACAAGGAAGACATGCACGGATTCTATACCGCCTTGAGAGAGGCCTACCTAAACCGCCTCCCTGCCTTTGCATACACTGGCACATACGACTTTAGCAAAGGCGTGTCCTCTCCGGAAGAAGTCGAGACCCTCCCCGCGGACATTGCAAAATGGGGCATCGTGTAGCAGGTACAGCCAATCTGGGCTACATAGGGCTTGAGCCTGCATGCCAAGCAGTTTGCGGAGAGGTTCAAACAGGAAGGGATTGCCGGTTACATGCGGAACGTGGCTGCTCCCGCGATCGAGGCATGGCTACCGATAAGTTTGGGAGGCCAAAGCCACCTGGCGGATACCTCGCCTATGCGTTCTCTGATGTTGTTGGATCAAGGGAGATCACGGAACGCGTCTGAGAGGGGAAGTTGACTTGGTTGCTGTTGTGCTTCGCATACTTATGCGCTGTTACGCTCCGGGGAAAGGGCGGCAGAGGACAATCATCTGTCGTCGGCCAATTAGATATGCTGTGTTTGCACTGGATAGTATCGTAGTATCAGTGAACAAGTCTTGCGAATTGCCTCTATTTCCTGACCAATTAGACGACCTCAGTATGCTGATGGCTGAAGTGATGTGTGCGGTCGTATGCGTGTGACTGTGTTGCACGAAATGTGAGTGAGAAATAAGGCTCTTGACACGAGAACTCAATCTCTTGTCATACGTATGATTTGCATATAATGTTTCACGACATGAAGCGTAAACGACCCGCGTTGAACGAGAGGCTGTTACTACCACTTCCCAAGGGCGGATATTTGAACTCCCTTTCCCTTCATGTTTTGTGTTATCTAACCACTTCTTCAATCTACACTGAGTCATTGACTACAGCAAATTCATCAAAAAATTCACTATGGAACCTCTCGATGGCGAGCATGCAACTTCGGTCTGTACGTCAATGTCTATGGTCTTGCTCGTATTCGCCTTCATCTCTATTGTCCTCTATCTACTAGTCTCCCACATTCGGCAAAGCTCACAACCACATATGAAGAATAGCCTTTCTTTACCCCCAGGACCGCCTCGATTGCCAATTTTCGGCAATTTCTTCAATGCGCCAGAGATTTGCTTCAACTGGTTAACCCATTATCAATGGAAGTACTTGTACGGACCAATCGTGCATTATGAAAAGGGAGGCCAGTCTTACATCGTCCTGACCACGGTCGAGGCGGCTCACGATCTTTTGAACAAGCGAGCAAGCAATTATTCAGGACGCACATTCAGTCCTTACGCAGGAGAGCTCGTTTGTAACAACTACAACATTCTCTTTCTACAATACGAGACCCAGTTCCGGCTCCATCAACGGCTCCATGCTAAGGGACTCAACCCTCGCTCCGTGGCGCCGTACCATCCTCTGATAGAGTTGGAATCGCTTCAGCTGCTGAACGATCTACTGTCAGAGATTCAAGAGAAAAGCGGCGAGAAGCAAATAGGAGCTGCTGTGAACCCTCACTGGCACTTCCGACGCGCAGCATCCAGCAATGTCAGCATGATAGCTTGGGGCTATCGGCTACTTAGGGGCAATCCCGAGCATGAAGCACAAATCAAATTCTTCGACGTCGCCCCAACCTCGGTAGTCTTGAAGACTACGCAAACATGGTACGATATCTTCCCTTGGCTGAAACATCTTCCTTACGCCATTTCTCCGTGGAAACGGGCAGCAAAGGTCCTGTTCGAGCGCGAGGAGGCTCATTACTTGGGCAATTTTCGTAGCGCACTGGAAAGACCTGGTTATAACCTGAGCAAACAAATTGCCAACAGCACTGATGTTTCGGATGCGGGCATGTGCGAGACCGAGCAGGCGTGGGTTGTTGGAACGTTGACCTTAGCCAATGGTGATACCAGCGTCGCCACTCTGTGCTGGTTCGTCGTTGCCATGTTGACGTATCCGCATGTCTTTGGCAAGGTTCAGGACATGATCGATAAAGTCGTTGGTCATGATCGCTTGCCTGTTTTCGAAGACCGGGAGAAGCTGCCATACGTCGACGCGATGATCGAGGAAGTCATGCGGTGGCGCCCTATCCTACCAGCTGGGCTGGATCATGCGGCCGTTGAGGAAGATGAGTACAAGGGATATAGAATCCCGGCAGGAGCGACGATCATTCACTCACAATGGGCGATTACGCGAGACAAAGAGGTGTATGGCGCGGACTGCGACGACTTCAGACCGGAGAGATGGATCGAGAACGAAGACCTACCCAGGACCGCCTTTGGATACGGAAGGCGACTTTGCCCAGGCAGGCATGTAGGCAGAGAAGGCCTGTGGATATTATTTGCCCGGCTCATTTGGGCATTTCGTCTTGAGCAGACGACGGATCCGGTCACACTGAAGAAGAAAGTGGTTGATCCAATGTCCATGATGCCGGCGGGCTTCGTTATTGGGCCAAATCCTTTTGAAGCTTTGTTCATCCCTAGGGGTCCATGGGTTGAAGCCCTCGTACATCAAGATCTTCAAAGTGCAGAGAAGAATGTTGGAAAGATCATGGAGCAGGTGGACACAGATAAGAGGCTTTAGTTGCTTGGTATCGGATTGGAAGTCTAATTCGACCTCGTAGTAGCGCAGGGGCCACTTATCGACCGTATAATTAATTATCGTAGCCTACCTAACCTATAATTAGAACCTCCTTTTTATACGTACATAATAGAATTATATAGTTAATTAACCTATTATTACGTTAACTTATAGTTCGAACTAATTAATTAATATCTTTATAATAAGGATATTAATACTAATTAGTAATTAATTTTTATTATTATAGATTAATAAAGTATTTTATACATAAATAAGATAACCTCCTTAAATAGAACGTAATAAGAGAATCGTATTATTTAGTTTTATAAAAATAAGTAATAAAAAGCGAATTTTTATAATAGAACGAAATAGAGGATCGTAGCCTTTAATTACTTATAGAAAGTTAATATTTATTATATTAAAATAACCCTTATTAATTAATAAAAGTACTAAAATAACCGAGTTATTATTGTTAATTTTATATAACTTTTTATTACCTAATTTTATTATAGCTAGCCGTAATTAAAAAAACTAGCTTTTATAATAAAAAATTATTTATATAACGATTACTTATTTAATTAACCTACATAATAAATAAGTTTTATTATATAATAAAAAGGTATTATACAAATAATAAAAAAAATCCTAAAATATAAAAAATAGTTAAATTCTATTTTTATTTTTATTAATATTTAGTTTTATATAAAAGTTACAAGTAGGGGTTTATTATTATAAGGATTTTATAAATATAACTTCGAGGCCCATAATTTAAATAATTCTTTTATAACTCTTTTAACTACCCTAAAGTATTATTATGGAATATTATATAAGAGATATTATAAAAAAAAAGGATTTAGAGATTATAATAGTTATAGAGCTTAGTAATTATAAAATTTTAAGGTAAATAAACTAACTTTTTAATACTAATATTTTAAATATTTTTTAATTTTTAATAAAGTTAAAAAAGGTTATAATATTACTAAAAAAAAATTTTTTTTTAAAGGGCTTTAAAAGCTCTTTTTATATTATTATTTTATTAAATAAGATTATTAATTTTAAAAAGTAAGAAGTAAAATATTAATTAATAATAATTTATTTAACGTATATATATACTTTTTAAGTTTTAATTTAAAAAAACTACGTAATTAAAAGACGTTATTAAGTTATTTATAAATTTATTTTTAATACTAATTAATTAAGGGTAAGAAGAAGATTATAAAGAAAATAGTAAATAATTATATTAATTAAGAACTAATACTAATAAAATAAAGTATAAAGAGGTAAAAAGAAGTAAAAGCTCCTAGACCTTAATAAATTTAATAAGTAATAATAATACGTTAACGCTATAATTAATAAGTAGCTCTAATATAACTTTATTAAAATTAAATATGCTAGTTCTAATAAATAAGAATATAAACTAGGGTATAATAAGGGTAAATTAGTATATAGTTTAAGGGAAAGGATTTTTATTTTAAATAATTAGATTATAATTAACTTAAAGTATTAAGGGACGTAAGTATATAAAGAGATTAATAACCTTAGTAATAAGTAAATTAATATAGTATTAATATATATTATAAAAATCTATACTTAGAAAGGATTCAAGGTAACTCCTATTTTATAAAATTATTAATAACTTAAGTAATTAGAAAGATAAGTAGTTTATTAGTACTAATCCGAATATTATAAAGAGGGTTAATAAATTCCTTTATTACTGAGGTATTTTATTAATATAAAGAGTAGGATAAAGAGCTTATGAGACGCTTATTATAATAATTATTATTAATAAATTTATATTATAAAATTAGTATTAAGTTAATAAAATAGTATTAAAATATAACGAGTTTAATAAAAGAGTAAATTAACTAGACTTTTATTAAAAATTATTAATAATAATATATTAGTACTAACTGTAGCATAAGCTAAGGATTACCCTTAATAAATAATTAATAATAATTTTATTAATTTTTATAACTAGTTTAATAACGCTACTAATATATAGCTTATTACTAACTAATTAGTAAAGTATAAGATTAACTATATAAAGTTAATATAATTATTTTAATTAATAAGAAATTTATAAAAAGGCGATTTAATAATAATAAGTATATAGTAATTTATAGATTTTATAAAAATATTTTTAAAAGAAAATATATTTAAGGAAGTATAAAGTTTTATAAAAACTTTTATAATATTTTAATTATTATAAAAAGTTAGTATTAAAAGTAGTAGTACTACTTAATAATTAATATTATACTAACTAATAAGGCTACGAAATATTATTATAAAGCGGTACGTATATACGATTAAACTAACTTTTTAATATTATTAACGTAATTTAAAGCTATTTTAAGACTTATAATAAGAATTTAGAGCTCTTATTCGAGCTAAGAGTATTTTTATTTAGATTTATAGTTAGAATAATAAAAAAATCGAGGCTCGAGATTTTAAAGAGCTTATTAATTATATTAATAAGCTAGTAAAGACGTAACTAAATAAAAGGATTAATAAATAAAAATTAAATATTTTTATACTATAATATAGAGAGTCTTAAAAATAAGGATAACTTTATATTTACTTAATAATTATAAAATACTTTACTCGAGGTTAAAATTTAGTTTTAATATTAAGGCTTAAATATTTTACTAAGCGTATTTTTAATTTTATAATAGCTCTTATTAATAATATTAAGTTAATTATATATATTAAAATAAAGGATAAGAGGCTATAGTAGTTACTAAGCTAAAAGGGTAAACTCTTTAATTAGTTATTAATTTAATTTAGAATAGGGGTAAAAGGGGAGATATTTTATATATAAAAAAACGGTTATTAATTAAGTAATTATATTAAAGAAGAGCGTATTAAATTATATAAGTAATATAAAAAGGGGAACATAAAGTAAAACGAGTAATAATTAATTTTATTATTTTTTATTATTTATAAGGGGTAAGTAGAGGAGTAGATAGTATTATTAAAATAGGTTATTCTAAGAGGTATTAAGAAAGTAATAAGGATTTAACTTTATATATAGAGAGAATTAATAATAATAAATTTAACGATTTTAACTATTTTTTTATTTTATTTATTATTAGAAAAAATATATTATACTAAATAAACGAGGGTAGTATAAGCTCTTAATAAATAGGCTTTTTATATAGTTATAATAAAGAAATTTTTGGGAAATAAGTTTATTAAATACTATAATACTTAGTTTAAAAAATATTATACTTAGTATTTAAAAGGTTATTAATAAGGATCTTATTAAAGGGGTAACGGAGGGCTAAAAGCTCTTTTTATATTTTTAAAAGATTAATTAGTAATATTACCTAGGTATTTTATATTAATGAGTAATATAGCTTAGAAATTTTTATAGAATTATTTTAAATATAGGGTATTATAATAGTTTATTAAAAATAGGGTAATTCTAAGCGCTTTAAAAATATTATTAATTATATTAAATATATTAATAGCGGATATTATAAAGATTAGTTTTAGCTTAAGTAAAGAGATATATACTCTAAGTATAATAAAAGTTATTATATGCTTTAATACGATAATTTTTATATTTTTCTTATTAATATACTATTTTTATTATATTTAAAGGATATAAATAAGTTAAGGATTATATTTAATAATATAAAGAATTAATTATTTAATAGCTAGTTTTTAAATTTATTAAATAATAATAAGAATACGGGTTTATAAAGCTCGAATTAGATATTAAATTTATTAACTATTTTATAAAAGGCGAACTTAAGTAATTATATAAACGCTTTAGTTACTTATTAGTTATAAAGCTATATAACCTCTTTAAATACTTAGGGAATAAAGATAGATAAGGGTTTTAGAGTAGTTAACGAGGTATATTATTAATACTAAATAAATATATAAAGCCTGTATAGATTTAAGTTTAAATTATATAATAACTTTAATTTTAATTAGTAGAGATCGTTATTAATATTTTTATTTTAATAATTACTTAGTATTATATATTATTAATAAGGTTATAATATTTTAAGGGGATAATTCTTAAGGAATATATAAGCTAAGACTATTTAGTTAATACTAAAGAGAGTATAGATTAATATATATTAAGGATTATTAAATAGAATTAAAACTAATATTAGTACTAGTTTTAAGTTAGGAGTTTAAAAATAATACTATTATTTATAATATATAGCTAAAAATCGTATTTATTAAAGCGTATTATAATATTAGTAAAATAAAAGGGCCTATTAATAGCTAAAAGAGTATTTAAAATTATTTATAATAAGAGCCCTAATATTATAAATGAGTATTTTTAAATAATACTTAATTATATAATTATATTATGCCTAAAAGGGCTAATTCTAATACTTCTTGTATTTAGAATATACTTAAAAATAATAATAGCCTCGTTATTATTACTAAATATAGTTTAATAAGCTTAAGTAATTAAAAAGTAATAAAAGTATTTTATAAAATAAATATAAAGTAGTAGATTAATAAGGCTATTATTATACGTAATAAACTAAATATAAGCCTTAACTTTAATATACTATTAAATTTGGATGTTAGGTTTAGAGAGAAACTATTAAATAGTAAGTAAGCTTATATAAACTAATTTTTATTACTAAACGGTTATATATCGTTATTAGGGATTAGGATTAATTATTCAATAATTATAATAATATAACCGTACTATATTAATCTTAATAAGGAGATTTTAATATTATAAAAAAAGAGCTAGAGAATCCCTTTAATAATATAATAATTAAAAAAATATCTTTAACAAGATTATTATTATAAAATAAATAGATAATAAGTGAGGAAGAGGTAATACTTTTATTAATAAAAAATAATTAAAAGGCCATGGAGAAGGGTATTATTATAATAATTCGTTATTAATAAAAAGTAAATATTATATTTTATATAGCTAAAGAAAAGCTAATTTTGCGCTTGTAATATAATTATAAAAATAGTATAATTATAATATTAAGAAAGCTATATATGGATTAAACCTT